ATCTGTATCAACCATATCTAACCTTGAACCATCTACACACCATCCTTTACCAACCATATCTAACCTTGTACCATCTACACACATATCTGTACCAACCATATCTAACCTTGTACCATCTATACACCTTCCTGTACCAACCATATCTAACCTTGTATCATCTACACACATTTCTGTATCAACCATATCTAACCTTGTACCATCTACACACATTTCTGTAACAACCATATCTAACCTTGTATCATCTACACACATTTCTGTATCAACCATATCTAACCTTGTACCATCTACACACATTTCTGTACCAACCATATCTAACGTTGTACCATCTACACACATTCCTGTAGCAACCATATATAACCTTGAACCATCTACACACATTTCTGTACCAACCATATGTAACCTTGTACCATCTAGACATTTTCTGTACCAACCATATCTAACCTTGTACCATCTACACACCTTCCTGTACCAACCATATCTAACCTTGTACCATCTACACACATATCTGTATCAACCATATCTAACCTTGAACCATCTACACACCATCCTTTATCAACCATATCTAACCTTGTACCATCTACACACATATCTGTACCAACCATATCTAACCTTGTACCATCTATACACCTTCCTGTACCAACCATATCTAACCTTGTATCATCTACACACATTTCTGTATCAACCATATCTAACCTTGTACCATCTACACACATTTCTGTAACAACCATATCTAACCTTGTATCATCTACACACATTTCTGTATCAACCATATCTAACCTTGTACCATCTACACACATTTCTGTACCAACCATATCTAACGTTGTACCATCTACACACATTCCTGTAGCAACCATATATAACCTTGAACCATCTACACACATTTCTGTACCAACCATATGTAACCTTGTACCATCTAGACATTTTCTGTACCAACCATATCTAACCTTGTACCATCTACACACATTTCTGTACCAACCATATCTAACCTTGTATCATCTACACACATTTCTGTATCAACCATATCTAACCTTGTACCATCTACAAACATTTCTGTACCAACCATATATAACCATGTACCATCTACACACATTCCTGTAGCAACCATATATAACCTTGAACCATCTACACACATTTCTGTACCAACCATATGTAACCTTGTACCATCTAGACATTTTCTGTACCAACCATATCTAACCTTGTACCATCTACACACATTTCTGTACCAACCATATATAACCATGTACCATCTATACACAATCCTGTACCAACCATATCTAACCTTGTACCATCTACACACATGTCTGTACCAACCATATATAACCATGTACCATCTACACACATTCCTGTACCAACCATATATAACCTTGTGCCATCTACACACCCTCCTGTACCGACCATATCTAACCTTGTAACATCTACACACCCTCCTGTACCGACCATATCTAACCTTGTGCCATCTACACACCCTCCTGTACCGACCATATCTAACCTTGTACCATCTACACACCCTCCTGTACCGACCATATGTAACCTTGTACCATCTACACACCCTCCTGTACCGACCATATCTAACCTTGTACCATCTACACACCCTCCTGTACCGACCATATCTAACCTTGTACCATCTACACACCTTCCTGTACCGACCATATCTAACCTTGTACCATCTACACACATCTCTGTACCGACCATATCTAACCTTGTACCATCTACACACATCTCTGTACCGACCATATCTAACCTTGTACCATCTACACACATTCTTGTAGCAACCATATATAACCTTGTACCATCGACACACATTTCTGTACCAACCATATCTAACCTTGTACCATCTACACACCTTCCTGTACCAACCATATCTAACCTTGTACCATCTACACACATTCCTGTACCAACCATATATAACCTTGAACCATCTACACACATTTCTGTACCAACCATATGTAACCTTGTACCATCTAGACATTTTCTGTACCGACCATATGTTACCTTGTACCATCTACACACCCTCCTGTACCAACCATATCTAACCTTGTACCATCTACACACCCTCCTGTACCGACCATATCTAACCTTGTACCATCTACACACCTTCCTGTACCGACCATATCTAACCTTGTACCATCTACACACATCTCTGTATCGACCATATCTAACCTTGTACCATCTACACACATCTCTGTACCGACCATATCTAACCTTGTACCATCTACACACATTCTTGTAGCAACCATATATAACCTTGTACCATCGACACACATTTCTGTACCAACCATATCTAACCTTGTACCATCTACACACCTTCCTGTACCAACCATATATAACCTTGTACCATCTACACACATTCCTGTACCAACCATATATAACCTTGAACCATCTACACACATTTCTGTACCAACCATATGTAACCTTGTACCATCTAGACATTTTCTGTACCAACCATATCTAACCTTGTACCATCTACACACATTTCTGTACCAACCATATATAACCATGTACCATCTACACACATTCCTGTACCAACCATATCTAACCTTGTACCATCTACACACATTCCTGTACCGACCATATCTAACCTTGTGCCATCTACACACCCTCCTGTACCGACCATATCTAACCTTGTGCCATCTACACACCCTCCTGTACCGACCATATCTAACCTTGTAACATCTACACACCCTCCTGTACCGACCATATCTAACCTTGTGCCATCTACACACCCTCCTGTACCGACCATATCTAACCTTGTACCATCTACACACCCTCCTGTACCGACCATATGTAACCTTGTACCATCTACACACCCTCCTGTACCGACCATATCTAACCTTGTACCATCTACACACCCTCCTGTACCGACCATATCTAACCTTGTACCATCTACACACCTTCCTGTACCGACCATATCTAACCTTGTACCATCTACACACATCTCTGTACCGACCATATCTAACCTTGTACCATCTACACACATCTCTGTACCGACCATATCTAACCTTGTACCATCTACACACATTCTTGTAGCAACCATATATAACCTTGTACCATCGACACACATTTCTGTACCAACCATATCTAACCTTGTACCATCTACACACCCTCCTGTACCGACCATATCTAACCTTGTAACATCTACACACCCTCCTGTACCGACCATATCTAACCTTGTGCCATCTACACACCCTCCTGTACCGACCATATCTAACCTTGTACCATCTACACACCCTCCTGTACCGACCATATGTAACCTTGTACCATCTACACACCCTCCTGTACCGACCATATCTAACCTTGTACCATCTACACACCCTCCTGTACCGACCATATCTAACCTTGTACCATCTACACACCTTCCTGTACCGACCATATCTAACCTTGTACCATCTACACACATCTCTGTACCGACCATATCTAACCTTGTACCATCTACACACATCTCTGTACCGACCATATCTAACCTTGTACCATCTACACACATTCTTGTAGCAACCATATATAACCTTGTACCATCGACACACATTTCTGTACCAACCATATCTAACCTTGTACCATCTACACACCTTCCTGTACCAACCATATATAACCTTGTACCATCTACACACATTCCTGTACCAACCATATATAACCTTGAACCATCTACACACATTTCTGTACCAACCATATGTAACCTTGTACCATCTAGACATTTTCTGTACCAACCATATCTAACCTTGTACCATCTACACACATTTCTGTACCAACCATATATAACCATGTACCATCTACACACATTCCTGTACCAACCATATCTAACCTTGTACCATCTACACACATTCCTGTACCGACCATATCTAACCTTGTGCCATCTACACACCCTCCTGTACCGACCATATCTAACCTTGTGCCATCTACACACCCTCCTGTACCGACCATATCTAACCTTGTACCATCTACACACCCTCCTGTACCGACCATATCTAACCTTGTACCATCTACACACCTTCCTGTACCGACCATATCTAACCTTGTACCATCTACACACCCTCCTGTACCGACCACATCTAACCTTGTACCATCTACACACCCTCATGTACCGACCACATCTAACCTTGTACCATCCACACGTGTAACATCTTCACCTTGTACCGTCGACATTTAGCATTGTAACGACTACAACTTGTATCATCTACATATACCCTTGTGCGATCTACATATACCCTTGTATCATCTGCGTATACCATTCTACCACGTTCATATACCATTCTACGATCTACATATGCCCTTGTATCATCTGCGTATACCATTCTACCACGTTCATATACCATTCTACGATCTACATATGCCCTTGTATCCTCTACGTATACCATTCTTCCACGTCCATATACCAATCTACGATGTACATAAGCCCTTGTATCCTCTACGTATACCATTCTACCACGTCCATATACCATTCTACGATCTACATATGCCCTTGTATCCTCTACGTATACCATTCTACCACGTTCATATACCATTCTACGATCTACATATGCCCTTGTATCATCTACATATACCATTCTAGCATGTTCATACTTATCTGACTAATAGATCAGCCTGCTTCACGTGATATTGAAAAAGAAAATTGTTGTTTGAAATGGGAAACTACTGGAACATTACGTATTGTCTTTGAATGTCACGCGGGCCATATGGTTGTCATGTATTCACATTGATATTCAGACCCGGAGTACACACATCCTAAATAACGAATATACCCATCACTGTATTTCGCAGCCTGCCTGATCTCTGTAGAACCCATGCTACATTCTTTACAACTATTAACTACTTCAAATATCATCTAACTATAATTAGTATAATCTGAGACGGTTCTTCGTCCTTCTAATTGTGTATAATTAAATATCAAAAGTGTTTAATTGTTTAACACCATCTGAAAGATAGGTTTTCACACGCAACGCTGCGTATAAGGCAGTTGACCATGACACAAATTACCCACGTTAAACACTCATTCACTAATTCCTAGGCAGAGGTTGCAACCCACATTACCATATCATAATTATCCGCTTGTATATAAGCAGTCACTGCTTCTTGTCATTATTCGAAGAGGAGTCCCAAGTTCATCAGCAATCAAGGTAGGACATTCTTGATATTTTGGCATCGGTATACGACATTGGTTTGAAACGTGTTGTAACGAATTTGAAATGCTACAGTGTTAAGTGAGTGAGTGAGTGAGTGAGTATGGTTTTGCGCCGCTTTTAGCAATATTCCAGCAATATCATGGCGGGGGACACCAGAAATGGGCTTCACACATTGTACCCATGTCGGGAATCGAACCCGGGTCTTCGGCGTGACGAGCGAACGCTTTAACCACTAAGCTACCCGACAGCCCCTACAGTGTTAAGAGATGGGTTTTTATAATGTCATTACTTCCTTAATAATTATATTCGTCGTTGTGAATAATGAGGTGTAATATTTTTAAAAAGGCATATTTTACTAAACCGATATTTGTATAATTATGATGAGCGTTGTATTCATTGTTTTGTTGGTTTTATAAAAAAAACTAAACATTGTGAATTTAGACGAAAATAGTGATCGTTTCCCTTGGGACGTTATAACATGTATAGCTATCATTGTATTTAATTTATAATGGCAAATTGACGGTTTGAATATTAAACGCCAAACATAACCTCGACAGGCACGAAAGTCGAAGATTGATAATTTCTTCGTTTCATCGTATGATCGTCGTGTGCACCAATAAACAGTGGTCACACTCAATACATCAACACATACAGTAGGCACACTCAGTGCATTACTAATCAAGGCTGGCATAGCCAGTGCATCAATAAACAACGCGGGCTTATTCAGTGCATCAATGGATAAGGTGGGTTTACTTAGTGCATCAACAAACAAGGTGGGCTTATTCAGTGCATCATATGGATAAGGTGGGTTTACTTAGTGCATCAACAAACAAGGTGGGCTTATTCAGTGCAACAATGGATAAGGGGGGTTTACTTAGTGCATCAACAAACAAGGTGGGCTTATTCAGTGTAACAATGGATAAGGTGGGTTTACTTAGTGCATCAACAAACAAGGTGGGCTTATTCAGTGCAACAATGGATAAGGTGGGTTTACTCAATGCATCAAAAAAACAAGGTGGGCTTATTCAGTGCATCATATGGATAAGGTGGGTTTACTTAGTGCATCAACAAACAAGGTGGGCTTATTCAGTGCAACAATGGATAAGGGGGGTTTACTTAGTGAATCAACAAACAAGGTGGGCTTATTCAGTGCAACAATGGATAAGGTGGGTTTACTTAGTGCATCAACAAACAAGGTGGGCTTATTCGGTGCATCATATGGATAAGGTGGGTTTACTTAGTGCATCAACAAACAAGGTGGGCATACTCATTGTATCCACAAACACGTTGGGCTTATTCACTGTATCAGTAAACACGGTGGGCATACTTTTGAAAAAACGGTCATATTTTAAATAAAGAAAATCAATATTAATCAAAAGATTATGTCAGTCTAAATGAATTTGTATGAAATACAGGATTAAGGTAAAATACTTTCCGTTCCTTTCTGGGCGAAGTGGTGTTGTTCAGATGGGATCTTTATTACCATGTTTACGTACACTGTCACTGTTTGTTGCTCTATAATAGATACCTTTTAAAACAATGATCCAATAATAAGATGTCTAAAGAATAAAACTGCATACAGGTAATCAATTAATGTAACTACACCCGGATAATTGGTATACTGTTCAAAGCGGCGTTAAACCTACCTTATTCGCAGTATAGAAACACAATTTGCTTCACGAACTGTTATATGAATCAACGAATGACAGACAAAACCAATATCAGTGAACATTAACGGCCTAATTGTGCTCTCACAACACAACATACAGTGAACTGTGAGTTGAAATACTCTTTCTCTCGATAGAATTATTGTCCAGGTAAATAAATAAATTCATAAACGTATACGCTTATATTTTGTTTACCATGGATTTACAAACGAAGTAATCTTTACTGTGTGTAACTACACCCGGATTTCCGTCTATTCAATAAGCATTAATGTTGGCATAAACGGCAACATATTTGGAAATAAGTCTTTCCCCCTCGCTGTTTGATTTTATTCACGAATGGGTCACGTCAAATTGTGTGAGCGGTGGGTGCTACTGGTAGGGCAGGACATGCTTACCCTTTTGGCGAGCTCTCGTGGCACAAAGCGATCGTAACGTTGCGACTGTCGCACCTCTATGTTACGTTCAGGAGTTACGCTTTGTGAAACGGGCAGCTGGTATCATCCCTCTATTTCAGTGATTCTCTCATATAACTGTCAAAGCTATTTTGCCTTTTACGCCCAAAAGAATCGGTTTCGTCTGATAATCAAGAATGGTTGACGTTAAACTCAACTGTCAACACGGATATTATGACCTTCATGGGATCTATAAGATCAGTCCGTTACATTTGGATTCTCTGACCCAGTAAACGATTACGATATGTGTTATTCCTGAATTTATCAATGTTTTGTTATATTCGACATTTTACTAAATACAATATTGTTCCGTCATATCTTTACTGAAGTGACACATAGACAAAAGCGAGTTCAAAGATTTATTTGGCTTTTTCATTGTGGAGTTTATTGATTATTTGTTTTCCAAACGGAAACATTTGCAACAAATGTCAAGGGAACATCCATATATTCACTTAAACCCACGAGCGTACGTGCCAGGGTTTACCGTTAGCTTGCAAATATTAATTATCACGACAGACAATGTCAACAACGACATTGTGAACATGACACAGAAGCAGCAGGTGTCGGTCGTTAATTTCCGGAGAAATTGAACTTAAGTTGAAATTACACGACGCTTTCGACTAAGATCATAACACGTCAGTTTCAGAGAGGTAAGGCATTGTTTTACGTGGGTTTAAGTCGTGCTGTATTTATCGAAACAGCTCAAACGTAAGTGTTTCCTATCATTCAGGTTCACGTTTTCACCTCTTCGCTCACTCCCCAGTTCCCTCATATTGTCATTCTTTATCCATTTCTCATATTCCATTTTACTCGCAGTTTCCCCGTTCTCACATTTCCCAGTTCCCTCATATTGTCGCCTTTTGTCCATTTCTCATATCCCATTTCACTCACAGTTTCCCCGTTCTCACATTTCTCAGTTCCCCATATTGTCACCTTTTGTCCATTTCTCATATTCCATTTCACTCACAGTTTTCCCGTTCTCACATTTCTCAGTTCCCTCATATTGTCGCCTTTTGTCCATTTCTCATATTCCATTTCACTTGCAGTTTCCCAGTTCTCACATTTCTCAGTTCCCTCATATTGTCGCCTTTTGTCCATTTCTCATATTCCATTTCACTCGCAGTTTCCCCGTTCTCACAATTCCCAGTTCCCTCATATTGTCACCTTTTGTCCTTTTCTCATATCCCATTTCACTCACAGTTTCCCCGTTCTCACATTTCTCAGTTCCCTCATATTGTCACCTTTTGTCCATTTCTCATATTCCATTTCACTCGCAATTTCCCCGTTCTCACAATTCCAAGATCCCCATATTGTCACCTTTTGTCCATTTCTCATATTCCATTTCACTCACAGTTTCCCCGTTCTCACATTTCTCAGTTCCCTCATATTGTCACCTTTTGTCCATTTCTCATATCCCATTTCACTCACAGTTTCCCCGTTCTCACATTTCTCAGTTCCCTCATATTGTCACCTTTTGTCCATTTCTCATATTCCATTTCACTCGCAATTTCCCCGTTCTCACAATTCCAAGATCCCCATATTGTCACCTTTTGTCCATTTCTCATATTCCATTTCACTCACAGTTTCCCCGTTCTCACATTACTCAGTTCCCTCATATTGTCACCTTTTGTCCATTTCTCATATTCATCTGCTTTTGTCTCGCTTTAAACTCACTCTATTACTCCCTTTTCCCGTATCTCGCCCTCACTCCAATTTGTTCCGATATCTGTGGTTATTTCGCTGGCGCATACATTTTCCCAATCCTAAAACATTGTCTCATTATATGTTCCAATATGTCGTGTTATCTCGTTTTCACATTACCAACTGGTCTGTGTGTGTGCGTGCGTGCGTGCGTTTGCGTGTGTGAGTGCGTGCGTGTGTGTGCATGTGTGTGCGTGTATGCGTGCGTGTGCGTGCGTGCGTGCGTGCGTGCGTGCTTGTGTGTGTGTGTAACAGTTATATCACTACAGATATTCTGATCGTTAATCTGTATTACTGTGTTTCAGAGACATGACGATGATGTTGCGGGTGACGTTGATGGTGATAGTGATGCTTCAGGGGACGCTGTCCCTAGAGCAGGAGTATAAAGACTTGCTTCTCAGGCTCCACAACGACGCAAGGGCAGACGAAGGAGGCTCCGACATGAATCAGTTGGTCAGTGCATATTGTTGGGAGTTCTTATTGAAATGTTCACATGTTTGAGGAGTTGCATCGCGTCCCTAAGATGGAGGGTTCGAATCCAGGTTCGCCCCGATTATATGTTTAAGTTTGTCCGCACCATATCCGTGCTTGTGGCCTTGGACAAAATGGTAAACGTGTAACACCTGCAACATTTCGGGTTTTCCTCTGGCATTAAGCTGATACGCCGTGATATAATTGATATACTGTTCAAAGCGGCGTTAAACCTAACTTACTCGCAGTGAAGAAATTTGCTTCACGAACTGTTATATGAATGTACGAATGACAGACAAAACCATTATCAGTGAACATTTACGGCCTAATTATGTACTAACAACACAACATACAGTGAAACTGTGTGTTGAAATACTGTTTCTCTCGATAGGATTATTGTCAAGGTCTGTCGTATAAATTCATAAACGTGTACGCTTATATTTTTTTTCACTATAGATTTACATACGAAGTAAACTTTACTGTGTGTAAGTTCATCGGAGTGAGTGAGTGAGTATGTTTTTACGCTGCTTTTAGCAATATTCCAGCAATATCACGGCGGGGAACACCAGAAATGGGCTTCACACATTGTACCCATGTCGGAATTCGAACCCGGGTCTTCGGCGTGAAGAGCGAACGCTTTAGCCACTAGGCTACCCGACCGCCCCAGAGCCAAACTGAATGAACCTTCCTCTTTGAAGGTTCATACGCCAATGGACTCTGACAAAGTTGAAGTCAATTCTTATACTTCTTTATATCATAATTGGGATCTCGCAGGACCTTTAAACAATATCACAAAATCCGTTTGACCCCAGCTATATAACTTCCAGCTGCCACTTTTAAGAAAAAGTAAACGACAACATGTACAACAAATGTTATTTTTGGGGTAACAATTTCTTTGTAAGGTACAGATTCTTGTAATGTTTGGGGTTGACTCCCATCCGGGATTCGAACCCACACTCCCAGAGTGAGGCACCTAAACGCCAGCACAAAGTCAGCGATCTAACCCACTCAGCCACAGAGGCTTCCACAAATAACGAACGTCCGACAACTGGTAGTCTAGACCACGTATAAATATGGTGTGCCCCTCTGACAAGGGTGGGGGCACGGGTGGCCCAGTCGTCTAAGGCGCCGCGATTCGCCAGAAACCTATGATTGTGGGTTCGAATCCCGGTTCGCCCCGATTATGTTTCAAGGTTTGTCAGCACCATACCCATGCTCGTGGGTTTCACCGAAGTGGTAAACGTCTGAGACCTGCATCACTTCTGGCTTTCCTCCCACATTAAGCTGACACGCCGTGATATAACTGGAATACTGTTAAAAGCGGCGTTAAACCAAACTCACTCACTCACTCACTCTGACAAGGGTAACTTGGCGCGGTTCAAATGGTCGAAAGCTATGAAAACACAATGCCATTGAAAAAGTGGTCAAATGTAACAAATGATAATGTCTTCGTTTGCATGTTTAAAATGCCCTTTAGTAACATGGATTGCTAAGCAAATAAATTTAAAGAAGAGCCGGTTAACGTGAGTAATTTCTCTTAAAGAACTACTTCTGTCAGTCAGTCAGTCAGTCAGGCACAGTGATTGTGCGTCGTGATACATTGACGTCCACGTCCATGTCAAAATTGCTACCACGATTAAAGTAAGATTTCCAAAGTGTTTTCCCTTAAAAAGTGAAAGTTAGGTCTTAGTCATCACTGCTGAATTAGACGATACTTTAAAGGACATCTCAATGCTGCATCGACTATATGCTGAAGTAATTCCCTTTGTAACCACGTATATATGTTGATTGTCCGTGTAGACCCATATAGGTTTAATTTGTAACATTCGTTATGTTCGTAATGACAGGTCGTAGCGAGGGTGTTCTTGTACGGACATGCTGTGATAGCTCTGCTTTTCCAATGTGTGCAAAAATATAACATCTGTGTGATCTTATATTACGGTCCTGCGTTTATACATAGCAGGGAATACCTAGGGTTTTCCTCAGGAATGTGAAAGTAGTATTTACTTTATATCAAGACAGTTTCATGAAAAGAGCAGGAAAGTCAAAATGTGTCGTTCATACGTTTGAGGAAGTCAGTTTATACGGACATGTGACTCCCAAACGTCCAATGGGTAATCCGTACATCCTGTAATCTTCACATTAAAAAATATTGTTTTGCCATTTGCGGATTGAGCAAGTTTGGTTTAAAGTAATTTTGAGCAGTATTTCATTTATATCATGGCATGTCGTGCGAGTCCCTGTGCATGTTCAGTAATTACCGGTGACAAATAAGCCTTCTCTTTTCCGGCATCTCAACCAGCATGTAACTCTACGAACACTTCATGAACACTTTTGACATGAAATCCTTCCTTTCGATTTTCTAATAGAATTGAAGAAGACATAGCATCATCACTACATGGTTTGATAACGCATTTCTTTTAGGACGTTAAGAAATCGAACTGACTGTTCAATTGTAACATAATTCTATTGCGTAATCACGCAAAGGGTGTAACTGGTTCATTTATTAAAACATATGTACATACTACTCAAAAGAACACGCGATTTTTACATTTGCTCATGGTTAATCTGTCATGGCTGGTTGGTATTGTAACACACACCCTTTCCAATTGTGGGTGCGCCTTAGCTTGTTTTGAGTAGTATATTTACCCTCGTTTGGTATCTTGTCTAGAACAACCGCGAACGACAGCTTTTGAAACTAAGTTGTATTTTCACAGACACACCCATTAAATAGTACTGTCAATGGTTTCATATTTTGGACAAGTAAAAATGCAGCCTGCCATAATTGTACCATAATTTCTTTGGCTTGTCACAGAAACAGTAGTTACATAGAAGTGTAGTATATTACTGTCGCCCACTGGTCTCGCAGGCTCATATTGCACTTTTATCCTTACTGACTAACCTGGGGCGGTCGGGTAGCCTAGTGGTGAAAGCGTTCGCTCGTCACGCCGAAGACCCGGGTTCGATTCCCGACATGGGTACAATGTGTGAAGCCCATTTCTGGTGTCCCCCGCCGTGATATTGCTGGAATATTGCTAAAAGCGGCGTAAAACCATACTCACTCACTCACTCACTACTGACTGACTGACTTTCCGAAGTTTGGACTACTCGGGTTTGCTTTTAAGAAGTATTAAATGGAGGCATCAGTGAAACCTGGCTACAATGGACAGGGTGACCCCAGAGAAATTATTTTTTCTGATAATTTGAGGGGAAATATGTTTTCGGTATTACCTGTATATGGGGTTGTAAACCCAAACGCGAGTGAGGGAATAAGGTTCAGTTTATGACACGGCATGCCAGCTTAAAGTGGGAATGCTGCTTTTAGAAACGGTTACACTAGAAATTGAACACACCATATATGACACACCAGGGTATTCTAACCCGGGTCTTTAGACGCGACGAGTTCATCTAAATAAATGCGTTGTAAGAGAAATTCAGTTGTGAAGATGGCATTTGTTATTTCGTCAACACTATCGGGAAAGAAAACAAGATACTAGAATTTTAAATAATGCAAGAAGTATCTAATAAGTAAGAATAGGAACTAATACGTGAAATGGTAAATTTTGAGAACCATTGAAAGCGGAAAACAACTTGTTTCCATGACGACATCTGGCTTTATGCGTCAGTATACCTGTCTACTTTCGACACTGACGAACGTGTGAAATAGTCTTCCATGATTTAATACTGCTTTAGCCATTGGCATAACGCAATTAGCATGATGTGTGTCCGATAACGGATGCAATGTTCTTAATCGAAAGGGCGGTGTGATCGCCCTGTTGTTAAAGCTTTCGAACGTCACATCGCAGGCCTGGGTTGGAATCCCTAAATGGGTACAATGTGTGAAGCCCATTTCTGTTGTCCCCTGCCGTGATATTTCTGGAATATTGCTGAAAGCGGCGAAACCGTTACTCAATATTAATCGAAAGTGTCGATTATTTGGTCGGATTGATTCACTGTGACACAACACGAAGGACTGTAAATAATGTAATATTATATGTACACGCTGCTATACATGGTTGGTTGCAATGTTCCAGCTGTATGACTTCCGTCTGTAAATAATGTAATATTATATGTACACGCTGCTATACATGGTTGGTTGCAATGTTCCAGCTGTATGACTTCCGTCTGTAAATAATGTAATATTATATGTACACGCTGCTATACATGGTTGGTTGCAATGTTCCAGCTGTATGACTTCCGTCTGTAAATAATGTAATATTATATGTACACGCTGCTATACATGGTTGGTTGCAGTGTTCCAGCTGTATGACTTCCGTCTGTAAATAATGTAATATTATATGTACACGCTGCTATACATGGTTGGTTGCAATGTTCTAGCTGTATGACTTCCGTCTGTAAATAATGTAATATTATATGAACACGCTGCTATACATGGTTGGTTGCAATGTTCCAGCTGTATGACTTCCGTCTGTAAATAATGTAATATTATATGTACACGCTGCTATACATGGTTGGTTGCAATGTTCCAGCTGTATGACTTCCGTCTGTAAATAATGTAATATTATATGTACACGCTGATATACATGGTTGGTTGTTGGTTGGTTTGTTGTTTTACGCCGCACCATGCAATATTCCAGCTGTATGACTTGGGTCTGTAAATAATCGAGTCTGGACCAGACAATCCATTGATTGATATCAAGAGCATCGATTCACGCAATTGGGATCGATGACATGCATGAACTAAGTCAGCGAGCCTGACCACCCGATCCCGTTAATCGCCTCTTACGACAAGTATAGTTGACGTTTACAGAAGCATAGGTTGCTGAAGACCTTTTCTACCCCGGATCCTCACGGGTCAAGACACATTAAAACACCGAACAAACAGAATATTATATCTATAAATATTAGTGGTACTGATTGATAAATTGTGTTGTAGAATATGAACATTTTAATGTCATTGCAGTATTCACTCACTCACCACCTAAGAACCAATCCACCCAGTCACTCACTCATTTGAGATAAGTTATCTTCACGGGTCTGCTATACATGGAGTATATATTGATGCCCTATTATCATGCATGTACTGTTTTGTAAATTATCATCTGTTTGAGGTAATCAATTGTTTCATCCGTTATGCCTGAATCCTTTTGAACAAATATTTTTCTCTCAATAAAACTGGAAATTAGTACATATGTTGTGTTATAAGAGACACAATTGTGCAGATGAAAAGACGATATTAGTAATTATTCAACGATATTGTAATTATTCAACGATATTAGTAATTATTCAACGATATTAGTAATCATTCAATGTGAATAATTGTTTCATAATGTAAAATGCAATATAATATAGAAAGCATTGATCCTAATCATGCTTTGAAATGGACAGAGATTAATATACTATATGATATTTATAACGTCAAAACTTAGTAATCAGCTGTCATTGTCTGTAATTACAGTTGATGCGTTAATTTCAAGCTTGTCAGATATCTCTGACCACTTGACCTGTAATTGATGCACGTATACAAGGTTTGTGCAGTGTATGTACATGGGAAGAGTAAGAATTAGTCTAGATCGCCATGCTAGATTGCGAGACTGCTCCGAAAAGCCATACAGTTTCAGTGGCATGTATTGGTATTTGTCGCACTGTGTGAAACTGCCTTGATATTTACGTTGTAAATTTAAATGACAGCGTTACGAGCACTTTCCACTTCAGTGGTGCTTGAGTATATAATAGGAAAATAGGTCAATACTTCAGCAAAAAACAAGAAGTATGGTTGAACTAGAAAGATAGTTTAAGGTTAAATCAAGACCTTAAAATGATGCTAAGTTTTATGCAGGCCCATTCCGATGGTCAGTGAATGTGCTTCGTTTCTATTGTAAACATGACACTTCAACCTTTGTATCATACGACCATACTTACCTTAAAGTGGAAGTACAGACTGCTATATCATACAACTATACTTACTTCAATACGAAAGTACATATCGCTATATCATACGACTATACTTCCTTAAAAGCGGAAGTACATACAGCTATATCATACGATTATACTTACTTCAAAACGGATGTACATATAGCTATATCATACGATTATACTTAATTCAAAAGTGAAGTACATACAGCTATATCATACGACTATACTTAATTCAAAACGGAAGTACATACAGCTTTATCATACGATTGTACTTAATTCAAAGCGGAAGTACATACAGCTATATCATACGACTATACTTACTTCAAAACTTCATACTTACTTGTATAATACGACTAAACTTACTTCAAAACACCTGAATAAATATGGAGGGGCGCTTTCCTGGATTCGATTTACATCATGCACGCACACGCACACGCACACGCACACGCACACGCACACGCACACGCACGCACATGCACGCACACATCTGAAACTAGTTGACCTATCGACACATTAATCTGGTTTATATTTTACGCACTCAGCATGAACAGGGAGTCTATTTTAAACATCTTTTGTGGCCTCCTGGCTACTGCCATGGTCAGTATGTTTTCTCAAAGTATTCATGGTAAACCTGCATGTGAAATAGGTACCCAGCACCTACATGGATTGGTGGTCAGGCTCGCTGACTTGGTTCGTTGCATGCCATCGTAACCCAGTTGCCAAGAACGATGTTCATGAAGTCAATCACTGGATTGTCTGGGCCAGACTTGATTATTCACAGACCGCCGCCATACAGTTTATGTATGAATATTGATGCCAGCTGCGTTAAACAGCAAACAAAATGAAAGAAGTTTAATTAAGGGAAATCGATTCCATGTCATGCTACCAGTTCTTTTTATTTACTTATACGGTGGATAAGTTCTCATGTGATCCAAAACTGGCTCCCACAGGAGATATCGCTTGGATGAGATCAAACGATATCTACACTGTAGATATCGCTGCAATGAAATTACATCAGAATGCTTTGCAGACCATTGTGACGTCACTGTTACCATGACGTCACAATCAAATGACATCACTAATGGCTCTGCTACTGAAGCTGTTTGCAGTACTTTTTACACTGAAGACACTGCTAATTACTGTCTACAAATTGAAAAAGTTGAAAGAATGATGTGGGATGATTAATAAAATATCACCCTCGTGTCTCGGCAAGCCTCGGAGTTTTTCCACTTTTATCAACTCGTGATGATATATTTGATATCAAAAGACACTCGGGTAAGATTCTCTATATATTGCCGTTTTCAGGTATGGGACGACCAGCTTGAGAAAGAAGCAGGTGCCTGGGCAAACGGCTGTGTGTTTGAACATCAGATGAAAGGACGTGGAGAGAACCTCGCCTTTAATACCAATAAGAACCCCGAGACAGAACTAACAGAAATCGCCTTTAAAGCTTGGTTTGATGAAAAGAACATCTACACGTACGGGCAATATTCGTGTGGGTCAAGTTGCCATTACACACAGGTAAGATACGAGACATGTTATGACGCTGCATTGATACTAAGGCATGCTTTGGATTAGCAATCGATGGTAAAGCATTGTCACACTTGAGGAGCGTACGTAGGGCTTTACGTGAGTACGTTGGGGTTAGCTAAACACGAAGGGGTTTTTTAAATACGGATGGTTTATAAAGCATGTTGGGGTTTACTAAGCACGAAGGGGTTTTCTAAATACGGATTGATTATAAAGCATGTTGGGGTTAACTAAGAACGAAGGGGTTTTCTAAATACGGATGGTTTATAAAGCATGTTGGGGTTAACTAAGCACGAAGGGGTTTTCTAAATACGGATGGTTTATAAAGCATGTTGGGGTTAACTAAGCACGAAGGGGTTTTCTAAATGCGGATGGTTTCTAAAGCATGTTGGGGTTAACTAAGAACGAAGGGGTTTTCTAAATACGGATGGTTTCTAAAGCATGTTGGGGTTAACTAAGAACGAAGGGGTTTTCTAAATACGGATGGTTTATAAAGCATGTTGGGGTTAACTAAGCACGAAGGGGTTTTCTAAATACGGATGGTTTATAAAGCATGTTGGGGTTAACTAAGAACGAAGGGGTGTACTAACTACGTAGGGGCTTACGTCAGTACGTTGGAGTTTACGTCGCTCAGCTACATTCAACCAGGGACACCACGAACGGACTTGACACGCTGTACTCATTGCGGCCTCGGACTCATGTCTTTAGCGAAACGCCCCCACGTTAGATTTAAGACTTTATGAAATACGGAACGTCGTGTTGACAGAGATCCAACATTCCAATAAATGGTGTGTCAGGGTAATCTAAAACATATATTGCCAAGAATGTGTCAAGGATTATGTTTTGTCAGTAACTACCTGGTTACAACTCCATAATGCATTACCACTGTATAAAACACTTTAAAAATAATAATTGTGCCCTAGGATTTGACGTGACAATGAATTTACGTTCCCCTATATCTTACGCTGCTCGTAATTATAAATATGTTGTAATTCAAATTATTACTTTAAGTTGATACCCATTTACCCTTTACAGTTCAATAGATTCTATTCTACCAGGACCCTGAAGAATGCTTGATTCTGATTGGTTAAAAAGAGGTCTCCATTTTGCAACAGAAACCTCTTTTAAACATAAGCTTTTTCTCACAAGAACGTGCGTATGAATACATCGGTAGCCAATATATCGATTCATAAAAAATGACTGCCGATCACCGATAAGAACTGTATACTGTATCGATATATTTCCTCTATAAGACTCTGAGACTGCAACACAAGCCAGGTCTCTAATACACGATGGGTCAACAGCTATCGCGAAATTAAAAGACGTCCGAGTGCCTAATAGATGGAATACGGTACGTTTAATGTGGGATATTTTTACGCTAGGTTACAAATTAAAGTAAGAGGTATCTACTCCACAGTGGGTCTACATAAGAAACCCAGTAGGTTTATCTCTTAATTGTGAACTTTGTAATCACTTTATGGATGATTTTATAACGAAAAAATGGTGATTGTTAATTTATATTACAGCTGGTATGGGCTACGACAAGGCGGGTTGGTTGTGCTATGAAGAGGTGCAACTATCTGTCCGGGGGTGCCTCCAACGCCTGGTATTTGGTGTGTTTCTACGACCCCGCGTAAGTAACTGTACATGGTTCACGATTGTAATGTCATATTTTAAATAACCCCTGGCAAGTCTAGTCTAAAAATTTGTGAGTAGATATCGGGCATGTAACAAAAGGATTTAACATTGCTCACACATCACAAGGCTAATAAAAGATCGCGAAAAGATTTTGTTTTGTATATTTCCATGAAGCAGTCGCAGCGCATAGGAAACAGGGAACCATACTGTATGAAAACTTCACTGCAGTGCTTTACACCGACTTCACGAAATCGGTCGGGAACGAGATATTTTTGTTCCAATCTTTCGGATGTCAATGTCCACATAACGTGTCGCTTACTGAGAGTTGGTGTATTTTAATCATATGTTGCATTTTGTATTTCTAAACCAGCCTCTTGACAGAAATGTCTGTGTTGTAGAGGAAACAAGATGGGCCAGAAGCCCTATCAACGTGGAGGCTCGTGTAGCAAATGTAGGGACGACCAGTCGTGCAGCAACCGTCTATGTGCAGGTGAGTGGTCCAGTGTGTGAACTACACTGGTCGGTTGTGTGAACTACACTGGTGGTTTGTGTGAACTACACTGGTCGTCTGTGTGAACTACACTGGTCGTTTGTGTGACTACACTGGTCGTTTGTGTGAACTACACTGGTCGTCTGTGTGAACTACACTGGTCGGTTGTGTGAACTACACTGGTCGTTTGTGTGACTACACTGGTCGGTTGTGTGAACTACACTGGTCGTCTGTGTGAACTACACTGGTCGGTTGTGTGAACTACACTGGTGGTTTGTGTGAACTACACTGGTCGTTTGTGTGAACTACCCTGGTCGTCTGTGTGACTACACTGGTCGTCTGTGTGACTACACTGGTCGTTTGTGTGAACTACACTGGTCGTCTGTGTGAACTACACTGGTCGGTTGTGTGAACTACACTGGTCGTTTGTGTGAACTACACTGGTCGTCTGTGTGAACTACACTGGTCGTTTGTGTGAACTACACTGGTCGTTTGTGTGAACTACACTGGTCGTCTGTGTGAACTACCCTGGTCGTCTGTGTGACTACACTGGTCGTCTGTGTGAACTACACTGGTCGGTTGTGTGAACTACACTGGTCGTTTGTGTGAAATACACTGGTCGTCTGTGTGACTACACTGGTCGGTTGTGTGAACTACACTGGTCGGTTGTGTGAACTACACTGGTCGGTTGTGTGAACTACACTGGTCGTCTGTGTGAACTACACTGGTCGGTTGTGTGAACTACACTGGTCGTTTGTGTGAACTACACTGGTCGTCTGTGTGACTACACTGGTCGTTTGTGTGAACTACACTGGTCGTTTGTGTGAACTACACTGGTCGTCTGTGTGAACTACACTGGTCGTTTGTGTGAACTACACTGGTCGTTGTTTGTGTGAACTACACTGGTCGTTTGTGTGAACTACACTGGTCGTTTGTGTGAACTACACTGGTCGTTTGTGTGAACTACACTGGTCGTTTGTGTGAACTACATTGGTCGTTTGTGTGAACTACACTGGTCGTCTGTGTGACTACACTGGTCGTCTGTGTGACTACACTGGTCGTTTGTGTGAACTACACTGGTCGTTTGTGTGAACTACACTGGTCATCTGTGTGACTACACTGGTTGTTTGTGTGAACTACATTGTTTTTTTTGTGTGAAATACACTGGTCGTCTGTGTGACTACACTGGTCGGTTGTGTGAACTACACTGGTCGTCTGTGTGAACTACACTGGTCGTCTGTGTGAACAACACTGGTCGTCTGTGTGAACTACACTGGTCGTCTGTGTGACTACACTGGTTGTTTGTGTGAACTACACTAGTCAGCTGTGTGCGCTCCTGTACTGTATGAGGTTTTACTGTTCCACCCTACCTCCTGTACTGTATGAGGTTTTACTGTTCCACCCTACCTCCTGTACTGTATGAGGTTTTACTGTTCCACCCTACCTCCTGTACTGTATGAGGTTTTACTGTTCCACCCTACCTCCTGTACTGTATGTGTCACACACACCTCCCACCCTACCTCCTGTACTGTATGAGGTTTTACTGTTCCACCCTACCTCCTGTACTGGATGAGGTCCTCCTGTTCCACCCTACCTCCTGTACTGTATGAGGTCCTACTGTTCCACCCTACCTCCTGTCCTGGATGAGGTCCTACTGTTCCACCCTACCTCCTGTACTGGATGAGGTCCTACTGTTCCACCCTACCTCCTGTACTGTATGAGGTCCTACTGTTCCACCCTACCCCCTGTACTGTATGAGGTCCTGCTGTTCCACAGGTGGGGCTGACCCGTGTGAGGACCTGGACGCCAACTGCGACGTGTGGGCCAACTCCATGCAACAGTGCACACAGAACAAAGAATTCATGAAAGAGAAATGTTCTCTCTCATGTAAATTCTGCAAAGGTAACTCCCACAAATTGTGACATAATGTATCATATAATAGTTTGTGTCGTCGATGCGATTAACCAATCCGATTAACTTGGTAAAACAATCCGATTAATATGCAAATTAGGCCATGATATAACTTGTATTTCATAAAATATGATATTTACCTTACGAAAACACACTTGGTTAATATCTCTATAAACCCTTCAAGGTATAAAAAATACAACCCATGAAACATGTGTTCGGCCTGTTGCAGTAGCAGCGAAATCGGTGGTTTGTATTTTTGAAAACATATACTCACCGACAAAAGCGACGCGAATACCATACATGTTGGTTAATACATGAAAAATTACTCATTTTCTAGAGATATTAGATTGGTTCGGCGCACAAACGAACATACTGGTTTGTTGTGTGCATCGACGCTCATAAACGCATCATTTGTGACGTCATAGATCCATGATTCGAGATGCACTATTTGTCTCGTGAAGGATTAGTGTGTAAAGTTTGGAAATCACGTGCAGCATATCGTGATAAGGATAAAGACACTCTGTGGTAACACTCGACTGATTGTTAATTTTGTTATTAAGTGGTACACATTGGAAACATCTCTTCTTAAAACACATACTTCTATATATGTTTCTATGGTTCGCGTTTATTTTGGCGGTGAGTATATATTCAGATTGTGCCGTGTTCTGTCAGGACTGTATATTCCTCTACTTTTGTCTGGTATTTCAAACAATTTTAACCCAAATGATTCCATTTCAGCTGGAGGAAAGCCAGCAAAGGGTAAGGCATATTTTTTTATACATCTATAAAATATACATGAATAACTTTTGATTAATAACATCAGACTAAAAACTTTAAAATACAGCAATGAAGTTATATGTCTTCAGTTTCTTATAATCAAATTATCAAATGTCGTTTTATGTCACGTCAGCAGTGTTCAATCAAACCAAGTGTATACGATCATCATTGTACCCCGTCGGGGCTCAGTCAGCCCACTCGGTAAGGTACCATATTTTAATTAGTTGGCTCTGGTTGTCTAATATAAGGAACAGGTGTAAGAGCATTTGGCCGGGCTAATTGTGTGTAATTGTACCACAACGGACAGGAAAGATGTTCCTGCTATCAACCAATGGTTCGTCTATTCCACCCACGACTTTACACAAGTCGACGTTATATAACTTTACCATTGCTGACTGTGGTGTAAAAACAACATTCACGTCCTCACATCATTTCTAGTTTATGTTCAGTATCATGTCTTTCCGATAAATATGCAACTAAAGTCATTATATAATTTGTGTTCCAAAACCGATATGAAAGCACACCTGGCTATCAGTCTCTATATACACTTGAAAAGTTAAAAAGTATAACCCTTGACAGGTGTATTCGGCTCCGAATATCAACTGTATTACATGCCTAATATCTTTTGTCTCAGGTAACTCTAAGCAGGAACCATCAGTAAGAAAACTGTTATTGTTAAAGATATTGTGCCAGATTAACATAAACGTTTTTCCTCAGACGCTACTTATGCCACCGGAGAAAGCCTTGCATGTTGTTAAGCGATTTAATAGAAAATATAAAGATTTGCCACTGGATTCAGCATTTAAATTATTTGATGTTAAAATTCAGCAAATCCTCTTAAATAGTTCTGAGCTCTGGGGTATGGATTTTCATTATTCTATAGAAAAAGTTCATACTAAATTCTGCAAGTTTATACTAAATATTAGTTATAAGGCATCGAACAACGTTATTTTGCCAGAATGTGGTCGCTTTCCTCATTGGATAAGTGCCCGTTCTAGAGTTATTAGACAGTCTTCAACGAGATACTCTAAACGAGGTTATGATTTATTAAAGAAATTAGATGATGTTGTGGGTATTAATTGGGTTTCATTTGTGCGAATTACCCCATCCAGTCCGGTTTTGGACATCTCCGGATTTCCCAACATGTCGGAAATAAAGATCTATTCTTGTGTATTCTACCCTTGAAAAGTTGAAAAGTCTAACCCATGACACATGTATTCGTCTCTTAATATCAAGTGAGAACTGTATTACATGCCAAATATCTTTTGTCTCAGGTAACTCTAAGCAGAAACCATCAGGTAAGATAACTGTAATTGTTAAAGATATTGTGCCAGATTAACATAAACGTTTTTCCTCAGATGCTACCTATGTTTTAAAAATTGTAATTCCATTGTCCTGTCATTACCTGAAGTTTATACATGTATATTTCTTATACATGTCAAAATTCTATACAAATGTTCTGAAAACTAATAGTTTTTACCATCCTTTGTATCTAGTTGCAGCGGCATGGTCTAAATACATAATCCCAAACATATGAATATTTTAGTTTGGTGTGACATAATCAATACGCCAATACGATCGCTTGCTGTTGCCAATAATCATGACCTGGCGTTTTAAAAGGTTTACGAGCGCTTCTAGCTAATACTGATTTCACAGCCTCTGTAGAGGGCTCATGTTTCAACACTGCGCGTGCTGTAATCGCCCTTAGTTCGCAAGGTGTTTCTGGACCTGTGTGTGTGTAGGTGGGGACTGTGCTGACTCCGACAGAAGATGTCCCTCCTGGGCAAATAGCGGCTATTGTACCACAAGACCCCGTTACATGGAGCCCAGGTGTAAAAAGTCTTGCAACGTCTGTGGGGGAGGTGCGTGTGTTATATCTAGTAATCAGCGAGTTATATCAAGCTAAAGAGCAAATAAACGTCATTAAAGATATGACTTTCTCAAGTTCAAACTTCACACACATGTGTATATTATACCGATTTCGTTTCGCCTGGGTGTTGTTATGTGGAAAGAATTGGTTCTCAGGCAACTGCTTTTGAAAATATAGTGCGGGCGGGCGGTGGTTTGCTGTTGAAGCTAGTATGTAACCAAATAAACAGTTGAGTACAAAAGGACAAAGGGCCTTTCTACATAAATGTATTCCTTGATGAGTAAAATACTGGAATACGGTATTTGACTACCGTTGGACGATCACAGTGTGCATAATACACGCATACAACGCGATGACATTATCGTGAGCGCACAACACATGACGAAGCATCCTGGATATAAAAGTGTCCATTGTGTCCATATGGACATAATATAATCCATTATATTACCTTTATCCAATATTTCATTCAGTGCCAATGTAAAGGGAAGTAACTGCATGCGATATTGGATCGCATTGTTTTTAAGTATTGTAGCATTTCATTGCCTGGGTCGTATGTTCCAGAAGCGGATAATTTCAGGGATTTTGTCTTTTTGAAAATGGAAATATAATTGATGATGCGGGCGGTGCGTGAGAACCAAGACTATTATTTTAAGCCGTAATGGTACCTATTGATGGTAAAGAGAATGTGTGGCCAATGTAGCGTCCATGATTTGAGATGGAAAACGAAATCATGTTTTGATGGTTTATAGGTACGTCCAATGGAGGTAAGAAAGGTAAGTGTTTCCCTAATACATACAAGAAATACACGAGGTTCAAATATAACTTGGGACGATCTTAACGAACAGTGATCTGGAACAAGAAAGCGTTTCATCTCAATGCGCTAGCGGTGCACGCACGTGCTTTAAACAACAAAGAATAAATTATTATATTGTCGAAACTTCCACCTAAACTCTCACTTCATTCCAGCAATATCAACTTCATATTTAGTAATACGTCATAAATATTTTACTCCAATAACAATATGGACACCTGGTTCAATGTTATTATGTGTAAGATGTGTGATCTAATACACATATGTGAATCAAGAAGCCATTCTAAATGTATGTTACCAACGCAAACAGAAAAGGTCACTACAGTAAAGAAGCCGAAGACGAAACAATGTCGTGACAAGGTCCGGTCATGCAAACGATGGGCTAGTCAAAATCAGTGTGCAAGAAATCCCGCATACATGAAGGTCAAATGTCCCAAATCCTGCAATACTTGCTATGGTAGGTCAATGACTAGCAAGATGGTCTGCAATGTTTGCACTTGCGATGTTTGCAGTAGCTTGTCACATGAGGTATAGTGCACTGGAACGCAGAGATTGCATGAATAGCATCGCCCAAGGCTGTCTGCCATGGCTCTGTTGATGAAGCTGCCTGAATAGACTAGACTAGAGGCATTGTTGGTATATATGGATATGACCACTCTAATATGGAAATCAACCGTCTCGTGTTACGTATATTCACAAACAGGTCATGAAATGAGATAATTCGTCAAATATCCACAACTTTTAGGGTATGACGTTATCAATAAATATATTATTTCTGATGAGCATAAAAGAAACGAACCATTTTAAACTGCACTTGTGGTGTATATGAAAACGACGAAATCCCTGACAGATTTACTTAACTAACAGTGAGTGAGTGAGTATGGTTTTACGCCGCTTTTAGCAATATTCCAGCAATATCACAGCGGGGGACACCAGTAATGGGCTTCACACATTGTACCCATGTCGGAAATCGAACCCGGGTCTTCGGCGTGACCACTAGGCTACCGACCGCCCCCTTAACTAACAAGCTCATGTGAGTACTGAAGATGTTCCTCGAGAATATTGAAAGGGTTTTGTCACGTTTATATAGAAGTACATATCACTGGATGTAGTATGCCCGGATGTTGAATTGTGTAACGGTTTGCTGCTGCGTACGGTAATGTCTATATGCCACAGCTGAAACCAACGGGTAAGGGTATTGAGCGCATCGGGTATTGTTCACAACGCATTGGAGCGCCTTATGTCATCACGTGATCCGCCCCTCTAACTGTCCGCGCTTGAAGTAGTGATATTACCAGTAAGTATTATGTCCGTGTCAAGCGGAACCTATTTGGTCTTACCTTTAGTGATACCGCGCCTGCAGCATGGCGCAACGTGCGCTGAAGTAGAGAGAGTAGAGCCATATACTGGTTGCCTTGCTCGTATGCGCAGTGCATGAAGCATTTAGCACATGGCAGATTAAACACGCTTATATATTCAGCTATATATACATGTAATACATTTTATTACGTACACTGTTCATATCTTCATTGGGATGTATGTCCATGTCACAACTGGTTAATTTTCACCCTTTTAAATAAGTTCTTACATACGTCTTCACTTCAATGACACGTATATATTACTAAGGTCTTTAACTTTAAATAACCTCTGTATATACATACCTCATCAAACGTATTATGCATTTTAGTCACCTCTCTGTTCATCTATTCCTTCAAGCTTGTCAGATTGTGTATATATGTCGACTGAAAGCATGCGATCATACCTATCCAGTAACAACGCTCACGTATAGCCTAATGTTCATGTCGCTAACAGCTATACATGTGGTCGCTTTATATCAGCCATGAGACCCGTGAAGATCGGGGGTAGAATAGGTCTTCAGCAACTCATGCGGCGACTATGATTGTCGTAAGAGGCGACTAACAGGATCGGGTGGTCAGGGTCGCTGACTTGGTTGATGCATGTCATCGTATCCCAATTTTGTGAATCGATGCTCATGATGCCAATCACTGGATTGTCTTGTCCAGACTCGTTTATTTACAGACCGCCGTCAAATAGCTTGAATATTGCTGAGCGCGGCGTTAAACAAAAAAAAAACAGCAAACAAACAAACATCCATTCATGACGATCACGTATAGAAAATGTACATGTCGCTAACAGATATACATGTGGCTAATCTATATTCATCTATTGAGTAATGATAACGCATAGCAAATACAATGTCGCTTATAGTCGTGCATGTTGTCATCCATACTCGTCTGTCAACTGTGATCACGTTTAACGTTATATACACGTCACTCTCGTCCATCAACTACGATAATGTTTAACGTAATATAAACGTCATTCTCGTCCATCAACTGCGATAATGTTTAACGTAATGTGAACGCCATACTCTTCCATCATCTACGATAATTTTTAACGTAATATAAACGTCATTCTCATCCATCAACTACGATCATGTTTAACGTAATATTAACGTCATTCTCATCCATCAACTACGATAATGTTTAACGTAATATTAACGTCATTCTCATCCATCAACTACGATAATGTTTAACGTAATATAAACGTCATCATCCATCAACTAACATAACGTTTAACGTTATATACACGCCATACTCTTCCATCAACTACGATATATGTTTAACGTAATATTAACGTCGTTCTCATCCATCAACTGCGATAACGTTTAACGTAATATTCACGTCATTCTCGTCCATCGACTACGATAATGTTTAACGTAATATAAACGCCGTTAAAAACAACTCATGACACATGATTTCTATTTGTTTTAGATAGTAAAGATTGTATGTATCTCAAATTTCAAAGTTGTTTTTGCGGTGTTCTAAAAGTTGTTGGTTGTTGGGATGTGCATTTATTCGTTGTATGATTTGTAGTTTTAGTCCCTGGTATTCAAGTATGTGTATGTCAATGTTCCTTTTCTGGTGTCTGATAGAAGTTTTCGGTTGAATTTGGAATTATCCTGTCTTCGTATCCCTCATGGTGGTGGTGACTATCGTGTTCTCTCCAATGTACATCACATGTTCATGTCAAAGATGACGTTACTTTCAATATGAATTAATGATACATCTCTATGTCATTATCAAGACTAGCTATGATAATTATACATGATGATGAATTTACAATTTTATTTGCTTTTTAACAAACCTTAACTCAAATATTTTCATATTAATTGTAATTATAATAATCTCACCGTAAAAATAATGTCTTAGAAAATGCAAGTTTTTAATGATATAAAACAATGCTGCGATCGCAAATTCTCAAACAAAACGTAAAGGAAAGTCTTATATCTCCAGTTAATGTCCCCAAATCCTTATAGATGAAACCACGTGTTATGACAGTCACGGTAACTGCCGCTCGTGGGCAGAATACGGTGAATGTGATCGAAACCCGGGCTGGATGTACAAATACTGTCAGAGATCGTGCGGACAGTGTGCAGGTGAGCTACAACTCAAACTAAATGAGCTAAACATATATAGAATTTGAAATATAGCATTTGCATAGCATTTTAACAAACAAAAATTACGTTTTATATATAAATTAAATTTTGGTTGGTGGTAAGCTGATCCGAGCCTTAGAAACGCCTCTAGAGAATTGTCGTAAACATTATGTAGTTCTTTTGTAGTTGCGTTCTGTGAATAGTTCTCTTATACAAGATGTTATCTTTATTGTAGATACTTCGTCTGGGGACAGTACGTATCTGATCTTTTCTCCTTTTTTATTTTTTTTAATATGTGCCGCGCCTTTATTAATATACAATGTGTTTCCATAATTTATATCAGTTATTTTAATTTAATCAGACAGTTGTAACGTCGAAATAATTTTATTCAAAACAAGAAAGTATTTGTTATTGAGAAATTCTTTGTATAACATAGCAAACGACTGAATGAATAGTGATGGAAAGACCCATGCATTTTAACAAGAGAAACTTTGATTTCAAAAGAAACGTATTTTTTAAAGGTTCCTCAATGATATACGAATTCCATCAACAGGTGAAGACTGTGTAGACTATTACGACAGTTGCCCATCGTGGGCGGACAGAGGAGAATGTGTAAACAATGGAGAATGGATGAGAATGCATTGTCGCAAATCGTGTGAATGTAGGGGTACGTGTGAAGTGCATAAAAGGTAGCCATCGAGCACTCATTTCAAACGCTGCTCAATACCCAATCGGGTTTACGTTATCGTGGTATTTTCAGCGTCACCGGGATTTTCTACACACTCATCACAGACACTCAGTAATAAGTTAATCTTGTGTATTGTAGAGAAAGGGAATTCCTTTGTGACGTAACTTGGTCACGTGTTACATTAGAGCTCCAGCCTTTGGGTATCACTCGATGGCCTCCTTTAAGGTGACGATGGCTGGAGGAAATAATGAGTGGGTTGGCATGGGTGTTTCTGGCAGTGGTCCCCCTAGCAGGGAATCTGGTGGCGGTAGATTGTTGTTTTATTTCTTGGCATTTCTGTTGTTTGTGAGGTTATAGTTTGTTCATCCTTCCTGTAAAGCACAGTGATGATCAGTGGAAACAAATTGGAAATTGGCCGGAAATGTTGAACCAAGCAATTGCTATTTCAGCACTTTCGATACACATTACCTGAGTTATATTATTAAGTCGCTACAGTAAATAGTTGTTGTGTGAACAGGGTATGTTAGAGAGGTTTTTGTGAAATATGTCAAGCAAAACAAAAATATTCAGTTGAACATCAGATGAAATATCAATTATTTCCTTCGTGAATGATTTGATCTATTTGATGATCTATACAAATTCTAATCAATTGTCAGTGATATAATGTTGGGTCTATCTTTTATGGAGGGTGAAATTTCAATGCATTGGCTTTTCTGGCCCTTCTGTCGATTGTTAGGTCCAGCATATGGTTGTTAAAGGGCAAGCAAACGGAACATAGCATCTTTGCAGATTTTAATATTCTAGGTCATGCTTAATCGTAAATGCCTGATCAAAATCAAATTTTACAAACAGAAATAGCGTAAAATGGACAATAAAAATGATATTCTAAATCGTTACCCAAACGAAAATATCCGCCACTGGTTACCATTGTTTGTCGCGCTGCGCAATTTCAACGATCACAGCTGCGCATTTTCCGCGATTGTTGGATCACCAAATTCAGGTGATGCCATTTTCGTGTTGTCATATCCATGTGACGGTTATTGAGCCACCAAGTTCATATGACGCGATTGTTGGATCACAATATGTCGCAAGTGTTGGATCATCATATTCATCTGTCGCCTTTGCTGGATTGCAATTTGCATATAACGCTAACTGTAGCTCATCATACTCATATGACGCGATATGTTTTAATCATCAATTGTATATCGCGCGATTAGCATATTAGTATGTCCATATGACGCGATTTTCGAATGACGACGTAATTGTTAGATAATCGTTTTATTCAAATGAAGCCATACATCATCTTCATCGCAGTCACTGAATGAATCATTCGATCATCATAAACACGAAACACTCTGTCGTATCATCATCATATCACTATGAAACAGGTGCCCGACCAGGAATTTGTCTCAACTGTTTTCTATCCCTCCAGATAAGCACAGTTTTAGCCACAAGAACGTTCTGCATTAAAGTATATATAGTCTTCGCAATAGCATTACGCTTCACTGTTTTCCTGTTTCCATAATTCAGAAACACATTTCTTCTTTCATAATATTTTCAGCTTATTTGATATCATTTCACTGTTTTGAAATGTCAAGACATATTTAAGTTTAGTTATAATTAAAACATGTCATGTTTCTTTGTTTATTATGTTAAAGGTAAGATTATTAATTTTATTTTCTGAATGATTATGTTTTTGTTTCAGCATTTTCAAATATTTAAGATTTTGTACAAGCCCCATCAAATTAAAGCCTAATTTGTAAGGGTAAAGATGGGCAAAATTCAATTTACTCTATGGTATTGTGAGTGAATTTGGTTTAACGCTGCTGTGAAAAATATGTCCGTTCATTCAAGGCGTGTCATCTATGTCACGAAAGTCCAAACGTTTCGAACGCAACTCTGCACTGCGCATTCCGGCAATTTCAAACACTGAGCAACTCATGTCCCTTTAAGGCAATGACGTGGTGGGATTAAATGGGGTTTAACGATTATCCCCTTAACGCCGAGCGACAGGCAGTGTAACATCAAGGAACCGTCTGTTGACGTATTTTGGTATGATGTGGCAGGCGTCTTTTTCTTTTGTTATCTTATGTATCTGTTATCTTATGTAGGCCATCATTTAATGGATCCACGTGGGGATTCCGGGTTAGAATAGGTCACCAGCAACCTATGCTTGTGGTATGACGTAGTCAGGCTCGGTGACGTGATTGACAGCGTGTCATAGTAACCCGACGGCGTGGTTCTTTGCTCACAATATCGATCACTGGATTATCTGGTCTATTATTTACAGGACGCTGTCATATAGCTGGATTATTGCTGAGTGCGGCGTTAAATCACAAACAAACAAACATGTAATGGTCTTAAAATTTAGTTGATCCATAACACTCGTTGTTGGATGTTGCATTATAAGGTTGAACTTAACCAATCAAGCATTCATTCAACTTACTGTCAAAACTCATAGTCTACCTTGTGTGCTTCATGGCTCTCTGTGGCAGACGGCATAAGTTGACAAATCACCCCACAATGCATTGAGACTGTACTTGCCCGGTATATGAGCCATTACTGGTTCTGTAACAGCAAGTATTGACACACTTGCTGTTTGTTTGTTGTTTAACGCCGCACTCAGCAATATTCCAGCTATATGACGGCGGTCTGTAAATAATCGAGTCTGGACCAGACAATCCAGTGATTGACATCATGCATATCAATCCTGGCAATTGGGATCCATGACATGCATCAACCAAGTCAGCGAGCCTGACCACCCGCTCCCATTAGTCGCCTCTTACGACAAGCATAGTCGCCTTTTACAACAAGCATGGGTTGCTGAAGTCTCTACCCGGATCTTTACGGGTCGCACACTTGCAGAAAGTCGACATAAGGCCGGAACCGGCTCAGTGAATTATCTTTTTTGACGGTAACCGGAAGTGACCCACTTGTTCCAAGCCAGCATTGGGACTGTTATGGTTATACTGCGTGTATTATCACTATGGCCATATGGCAATTCTGGGCCGGCGCGGGCTAACCAGCACCAGCTCATTGCCACATCTGATGTACTGGGACGGTAGTGATGTCCAGTACCGTTTTAATCATGCCGTTACTGGCAGCGCATGAGCCATTGTGATGCCAGTATTGACCCTGTCATGCAATGTGTGCTGGGGCGTTTATGTGAAAACCATTTTTGTAAAGTGCATGTTTTACATAAAATGATCAAATGTTCGGTAAGTATACATAGTTTAAAAATTGCAAAACACTTCTGGTAATGTGTGATGATTCAAAGCAATCAATGTACACAATTATATATGTTTGACCTATTTGGATGATGCCAAATATAAAACCTGCTAGCACAAGATATGATTTTGACCAGAATTTGACCGGTAATAAATCACATTTGTAGGTGAAATTATACGGCGATATTTCCCCTGCCTTTGATATTTGTAATGAGACATTTAGAAGTTTGACAAGTCGGCTAAAAATGGTGATTGTTAGGGAGAGCTGGAGTTTGGGTAAATATTAGTCATTATGAGTATAGGTATTACATAGTCATGTGTGTGATGTTTCTATTTCAGGAGGGAGTAACTCTAGCTGTAGAGACGAGAACAACAGTTGCGCCAGATGGGCCAAGTCAGGGGAATGCAAAAACAACCCGCGCTACATGTCCAAGAAATGCAAGAAGTCGTGCAAAACTTGTTGAACACCTGACACAGTAAGAGTCTGATGCCATTACCAGTCACTGGTTTGAGATTTGGGGGAATGAGTGAGTGAATGTTGTTTAAGCCGACGACATTAATCCACTATATCAAGGAGGCCTGGAACTCATCGAGTCTTGCCCAGAATAAAACCTTTGTAAATATGAGATCCTATTAAGTCGCCTCTTGTATGAAACAAGTATGTTTTACCAGGGCTATTTGTCGAACCCGGGACTGAGATTTGAGAGGCAATACATCATTGTTATTATGACTTTCTCCGGGACAGAACTGGTGCTAATGGGTGTGTGATTATTCAAAAGTTATCCTAAAGAGCTGGTAGATGTTCAAACAGGAGAGAGAGAGAGAGAGGTATCGGGGGGGGGGGGGGGGGGGGGGCGGAGGGCCTAGTCGTCTAAGGCGCCGCGATTCGCTGTGCAGAGTTGCGTCCCTTGTTCACGCCAGAAACCTATGATTGTGGGTTCGAATCCCGGTTCGCCCCGATTATGTTTCTAGGTTTGTCAGCACCATACCGTGCTCGGTGGTTTTACCGAAGTGGTAAACATCTGAGACCTGCCTCACTTCGGGCTTTCCTCCCACAGTACGCTGACACGCCGCGATATAACTGGAATACTGTTAAAAGCGGCGTTAAACCCAACTCACTCACTCACTCAAACAGGAGCGGAAGATGATCCGTACGATGTAAAGTTGAGGGGGCTGTAGTCTTTATTGACAACCTAAGCCAGAAAGCGTGTTCCTTGATTTTGGAAATAAGTGTATTTTTTTTCATGTAAACTGCAGATTAGACAGCGCGACATTTAGCTTAACGCTGAACGCGTATAGTCTATTGGTGAGCTGAAATATGCGAAAATAGTTTTCATACACGATAAAGCGGTCGTAAAATCATCTCTCTGATTTACAAACCGAGATCGAGTAATTTCCGCAGCCAAGGTTGAATTTTATGTCCGCTAAGTATAACTTGCAACAGTTCCAATTTTGGAATTAGGATTTGTTTTCAGCTGTATAAATATGTTGCATTCTATAAGATTGTTTCCTTGTTTTCACAGGTGCATCGGACTGGATTCATCAACTATATCAACTCTGAGACAATTCGTTATGATATTCACATGTGTACCGTCGATAATTCACAGATTAAACGAGATTGAGCTTAAACATGCACGTGTTTGTTTTAGCAAAATAGATTCAGTGAATTTATTAGGTTAAATGAGTGAGTATGGTTTTACACCGCTTACAGCAAAATCCGGGGGTAAAGCAGGCACAGTCGTCTAAGGCGCTGCCATTCGCTGTGTAGAGTTGCGTCCCTTGTTCACGCCAGAAACCTATGATTGTGGGTTCGAATCCCGGTTCGCCCCGATTGTGTTTCTAAGTTTGTCAGCACCATACCTGTGCTCTTGGGTTTCACCGAAGTGGTAAACGTCTGAAACCTGCATCACTTCGGGCTTTCCTCCCACATTAAGCTGACACGCCGTGATATAACTGGAATACTGTTAAAAGCGGCGTTAAACACAACTCACTCACTCACTACAGCAAACTCCCAGCAAAATCACCCCAGGAATCGAACCCGGGCCTTCGGTATGACGAAGGTAGGCTGTAACCACGAGGCTATCACATTCTGAAAACGATCGGCCATTTCTGGTGAAAACAGAAAATCTTTGCTGTTACGGAAAGGGGCGATATTTCCCGATTTGAGGTAAATGAATGAATGAATATTGTTTAACGCCACAGCCAAACATATTCACTATCTATATCACTGTGGCATGTAAGTACCGAATGTAGACATGCAAATCAGTCACTGAATGCATCATTAACCATCAATACCAGGTTCGAGGTACAACACTTCACTATGATTCTAGTCTGTGAGCCTGACCATATCATCCTCATCCCAGTCGCAACATACAACAAGCAACAGTGATTGGGAGCTATTCGGACCTAAACTACTCACAGGGATAGTGGTATGGGATTCTAAGATCATGTTAATAAGAAACTTACAATTGCTACTTTCCAACAGAAGCTATTGTTCCTCTATTCACAAAACACCAGGAAGTGCTTTCGAACCCACGTCCATCGGGCCCTGACATTGCTAAGGACTCAACCGGTCATTGTGTGACCATCAACTCTGACATGTCTTCTTTTCCTGCTGACCAAACAGGGAAAAACACAGCCTGGTTTCCTGGGTATGCTGCGCTGGCGCTCAGTGTAGCGCCAGCGCAGCATACCCAGGGAACCAGTCTGTGAAAAACAGGCCTTATTACGCTCCGTTATGTAAAATAAGTTTACGGATCCTGTTTACTGATCTTGTTCAAAACAATACAATATCAAAAAACATATTGATCCCAATAAAGTATAGTCTGTTAATGGAGCATTTCAGTGAAGGTTCGCACACAAAAAAACGTTAAAAGCGGATGGTTGCGAACAAGGCATTTACTGTTGAAACACTTTAAAGACGAGATACTAGAAGGATCTTTTTTGTTCACTGGAAAAAGCCACATAATGTGTAAATATAGGCATGGGAACGGTTTGTTTTCTGTCCGTCACTTGAAAGACGTGATCAAATGCACATCTAATATGGTTCACGTGAGTGAAAAAAACCTGATCTGTCAAAATCCAAGGGGTGAGGTGAAATGGGGTTTAATCATTTCACTTATATAGCGACGTGCATGTACGTGTGTGTGTTTGTGTGGCTGCTTGTACTAGTCCGGACTAGTGCTAGCCCACTGAGATACCATGCCGCAGTTTAACGAAGACCCCACTCAGACACAGTATACTGACTCCGAGCCGACCAGTCCTTGTTTTAGCCCCTTAATGCCGAGCGCCAGACAGGGTAACACCAAGTACCATCTTTTAACGTCTTTTGGTATGACGCGGCCGGGGATCGAACCCCGGACCTTCCGCTCTCCGGGCGGACAATCTACCACTAGACCACGGAGGCGGTCCGAAATCCAAGAGAAAATCTAAGTGTGAGCAAATCCAGGACGAAATTTGTATCATATGTCTGTACTGTTTTTATCTAAATCTAGAGGTGAAATTGGGTTTGACGTTTATTGCATTTATATAGTGACGTGTATGCACGTGTTTTGGTTGTTTTTGTATGTTTTTTTAACACCGCACCGCACCGCACACTATTCCAGCTATGTGACGGCGGTCTGTAAATAATCGAGTCTGGACCAGCCAATCCAGTGAGTGATATCATGAGCATCGATCCCCGAAATTGGGATACGATGAAAAGCATCAAATAAGTCAGCGAGCCTGACCACCCGATCCCGTTAGTCGCCTCTTACGACAAGCATGGTTTACCGAAGACCTATTCTAACGCGGATATTCAAGAGTGACGTGCGTGCGTGCGTTCGTTCGTGTGTGTGTGCCGATTTTTTAGTGCTGGCCCACTGATTTACCATGCCGCAGTTAACATGAATACCCCACTTAGCCGACCAGTCCTTGTTTTAGCCCCTTACTGCCGAGCGCTAGTACCCTCTTTTGACCCTCTTTTGCGCGGTATGATGCTCAAATAGCAGAAAAAGGCTTCGGCAAACCTCTAAAAACTGCCCTTTGACACATTTAGTTCTATCTCTCCATTAAGTGTACAGATGACCATATCTTAGATGTCTTGTCTGGTCAATGTCACATTATTAAAAATTTCATTAATTGCGACTGTGCTTTTGAGCACACACACACCAGACCAGACAATCCAATGATCGACATCATGAGCATCAATCCACGCATTTGGGATACGATGACACCGAGCCTGACCACCTGATCCTGTTAGTCGCCTCTTACGCAAGCATGGGTTGCTGAAGACCTGTTCTACCCCGGATCTTTATGTAATATATATCTATTACACTTAGGAAGTTTTTAAAACATTCCGATTATTTTTTCACTCGACCGTAGTTAATCTTTCATTCCTGGTTGGTTATTGCAACACCTTTCTTAACTTGTTTTGAGTAGTATATATCATAGTTGTCTGAACAAAGTCCGAGAATGAAAAGAACTGTCATGGATGGACTGCGTCTGCGTGTTGCATGTGCAAAATAGCATTCACGTGCCGCACGTTCAGCTTCTGTGTTGGAGGTTAAGATGCGTCTTTTCAAAGGTATAACGTTTTAAGGTTATTTGAACACTGTACAACTGTAACGAACAATTACATGTGCAATCGTTCGAGGCATTACTGCACATTGGAGACTAATTTCACGCCCCGCAATGCGTCCCGTGTTGTAATCTGGTCTTATAATATGATAAAGTATGTTTTTGGAATATCCACCTTTTCAATGTTTTTAGAATGTTGAACCATTTTATTGTCCAATGTGTAAAGCCCTTTTCTAGTGTCCCCCGCCGTGATATTGCTGGAATATTGCTAAAAGTGGTGTAAAACCATACTCACTCACTCACTCTTGTTTCAGGAAGGGCTGGATTTCTGATGTTTGGTTTGGCCATATCAGCAGTATGCACACTGCTCTTCCTACACTACAGGATTACAGTATCAAAGAAGGCCACAGATAACCAACGGATTTCTGTTGTTCTTACATTTCCATACTTGCTAGACCCATCGTGGAACAGCCCTGGGTACTCCACCCTCAGTCACAGTCAGAAGGAGGCTCGAGCGGAGGAATATATTACAGGCCTTTCCAGAACCTTGATACATCCGCACATACATGAAGTCCACCTTCTTTACGACCAAGATTTACTGCCTGATCATGTTAATAAGAAACTTTCAAGTGTTACTATCCAACAGAAACTGTTTTTCCACTATTTACAAAACACCAGGCAAGCGCTTTCGACTTTCCGATTTGCATTTGAGAATCTTAAAGGTCGATTGGTGATGGTGACCCAAGCAGACGTTTACCCAGAACGAGGATTTGACCTCATTGACTTTGAAAGATTGAAATCGGAGAGGTTAATGTATGCATTGACTCGTCACGGCAGACTAGAAGAGTCATGTGACATGTCAGGTGACTTCTGTGACGAGGGACGAAAATTTGTCGGATCTCATGACACATATATTTTTGTCCCGCAAGGACGTCTAACAGCATCCGCCATTGACTCCCTGTCGACAGACACGATGGCGTGGGGCATTGACTTGGTGATTACGTGGGTGTTCCAGAATGTTCTGAGCTACCGTGTTCTTAACCCTTGTAAGGTCGTATTCGTTTACCATATCCACTGCACATACATCAGGAATACTGGAAGACAAAGAGTGAATACTGTCAACACGACAGGGTGGATACCGCCCACATCGGACTTGTACTGAAATGTTATAATACGTATTCGTTCAACATACATGGGCGCGACTCGTCATTGTAAGTTCATTATTTAAATGAGATTGTACATGACCGATTATCAGACGTGTCTTATGTCCATTCTATTATGAAAAATACCCTCCGTTTTCAGCTCTGTTCGTGACGTGATTCCAATCAAATTGGTTCCGTGAGCGAGAGACATCCTGTTAAAGATATCGACGTCACTTCCTGTTCCAAGGGCAGTTTGCTTACTAGAATGCTGATATAATATCCGAAGTAGACACAATTTTTGGATAACGACTTCTTTAATACTGTAAAGGCGACGTTTCGGTATAGTCTTGTTTGACAACGGTACAAGGATCTATACCGAAACGTCGCCTTTACAGTATAAAGAAGTTGTTGTCCATAAATTGTGTCTACTTTGTCATCAGTCAACTTCTAAGTAATGTCTATAAAACAATTGATATAATATACTAGATAATCGCGGATGGTACTAATCGCAGTTGGTTGAATTGATCATGATTATGCATTATAAGACGAGGTCATATCAGAAAGAATAAAAAGTCACATCTCACGTTGATTGACTGGTTGTGATTGTGCTTCTTGAAGTTTGTTCGAATTTTGTTTAACGCCTCACTGAGCAGTATTCTACCTGTTTGACGGCGGTCTGGAATTATCGAGTCTGGATCAGACAGTCCAGGGATTGATATAACGAGCATCGATGCATGCAATTGGGATACGATGACATGCATCAACCAAGTCAGCGAGCATGGCCACCCAATCCCGTTAGTCGCCTCTTTCGACAAGCAAAGTCGCCTTTTACGGCAAGCATGGGTTGCTGAAGACCTATTCTGACCCGGATCTTCACTGGCGGCTTTGAACTGCTGACAAACCTAGTAACATAATCGGGGCGAACCAGGATTCGAATCAACAATAATAGGATACTGGCGTGCCCAAGGGACGCAACTTTGCACAGCGAATTGCGGCGCCTTAGAGGACTGGGCCACCCGGATTTGCTGTAAGCGGTGTAAAACCATACTCACTCATTTAACCTCATAAATTCACTGAATCTATGGGAGGAATATCCAACAATTTGAATCTTCAAAAACAATATTTGTTGTCAAATATAAACCTCGATCCCCAATGTAATATATCTCCATTTTATTATATATTATTTATCATATTGAAAAGAGGTTAACAAAACACTAGATAATCGAGGATGAAATTGTTTTAAATTTAGTGAAATTATCTATGGGTGGCCAAAATGTCCTTGACTGTCATAAATATATTTCTAATACACAGTAAACTACGGTAAAAGCGAACTCAAATGGACCACACATTTTAGTTCGTTATAAGCATATATACAGCCTATAAACAGCAAATAGCCGGGACAAAAAAACTACGTTATATCAGTCAGTTCGTTGTATTCGTATGTTCGTTACAAACGTAGTTTACTGTATATGCAAACCTAGTCAGTTCGTTATAAACGTGTTCGTTATAAACGAAGTTTACTGCATGTTTTTCTTATCTACATTCTTAAAGGTCAATGTGCATAAATAGCCTCAGGATGTAGCCATAGTCGATGTTGCCACATCTGAAGGCAATATTCGAGAAAGAACAGATAATTCCTCAATCCCGATGAAACGTATGTGCACAGTGCGTACGCTAAGGCAATTTCAGAAAGGAAACAAGACACAATGTTACATAGGAAAGAGCAATGTGTCCTTTATTCATGAACATTATAGAAACTGCTGTTATTGCTGCGGTATTTTGTTTCGTGAATGGAATGTGACAGGGTTTCACTTCACTGCCAAAAGATCTATATCGTAATTATGTCAATGCATTGCAACAATTAATAACAAGACACTGAAAAAGCACTACCCGTGGCACAAATTATGCAGGAAATGAATAAAACATATAAATAAAAACTACTCTGCAGAATCTCGGCAGAGAATGGTATTCAAAACAAATTGTATAATGAGCAACGATCACACTATTTCCCCGAAAGACATGTATAAACGTCTAAACAATGAATTTCAAAATGTACGGTAAAGTTGGTTTGTACTGTCTGAAGAATATCTTGGCCACTATTAAAGCATTTCGGTGCCGCTGTTACTGGAACCAAATATCTCGCAACCCTTGTAGACATAATACGTTCATCAAATTTGTTTAAGGCAATGATGTTGTTTCACGTCGCTTATAGCAATATTCCAGCCAATCAGATCCACCAATTAACATCCCACACTGAACCCAAGTGAGGAATCAAACGTAGGAGGTCGCCCTGTCGACCATGTTGTTTCTTAGCTTTCAAGCTATAAATATTCTTAAATAAATAAACTGTCATTGTAAGGACGTGGCGTTGTTCTAACGCAAAGGCAATAACTCTTCAAAGCCAACTGATGGTGCCCTCTGCCGTGATATAGCAGACTATTGCTAAAAGCGGCGTAAAACCATACTCACTTCCTCTCTTTGGATCTAGACAATATCTAGTCAGCGAGAGTTCTCAATGGCCCTCTGATCAACATCTGTATACTGGAATTGGTGTACTTCTTTTCCAGTGGAAGTCCAGAACCCTCGACGATCCTTCGAACCATATTGTTCAGCCGGTTTACCCCAGCAGGGGACGGTTTGAACCATTCCGCCATCGTCGTTGGGTTGGGACAGAGGTAAAACGGGCAAGTACCTTCAACATATCTGCCCCTGCTGTCTCTGAAGGTCTTGTAAAGCCTTACCAAACACCGGTTAGAAGGCACCGTGTTGTCCACATGTACCACAGGAAAGGGGGACTTGTTCAACATGACACATTCCCTACCGGAAGTATCCACCTGCAGTTCTATATCCCTCCACAACAGATCACCGTGTTCTCGAACATTCTTCACAACATTCCCAAAATTGATATTGACCATCAACCAGATCGTATTCAACAGAACATCAGGATTATAATCTCCCAGTCTCTGGATGCGGAACAACACGTCTATGTCCTGCTCGGAGAGGAATACGGTCTTATTGGGCAGCATTCCTTTACCCTGCTGGATGAGCCAGGACTGTTTGTCCTTTAGTTTGGTCCTGCTGTTCTCGAATATCTTGTCCCGGGTGATGCAGAAGCTGTAGCCGCAGAACTTGAGATGTCTCTCGAGGCTGGACTGCATGTTCTTCAAGTAAGAAGGCTCATACTCCTCACCGTTGTCCTTTCGGATGTCCCAGAAAAATGTTCCTAGAACACTGTCCAGGTCTGCTGGTGGCAAGTCGTGCATCGGAATGGTAATTCCTTGAGATACTAAATACTCCTGAAAAATACACAGAACAAAGTCAGTTTGAGGTTAAATTGCTTAAGCCACAGGAATTTGAAATCCAATTTCCTTATCCTGCTGTCTGCTTGAACATTAACTTTAAACTATATAACACCGTCTTCATAACTGGAGGTATATTGGAATGGAATGTAGTTCAACCCTACACAAGTGGACTAACAAACGGAATTCCGGTGCTTTCACAGACGTATGCATTCAGTGGATGTGTTTCTGTGGAGCTCCTAACTAAGGTAAGAAATACAACAATCTAAAACGAACGTGCAAGAGCATTCATTTGATCTCAGGTCTTCCCTCCATGGAGGGTATTTAAGTCAAACAGTCTTCATATTGTAACAATAATTTTTAACCAATGAAGTGCCAAAGAGGCATTTGTGATTTAGCAAATATTTTATGACCATAGATGGATTCTTTTAAGGCATGTTGGATCGGAAACATAAGAGTCCTGCGTTGGTGCTTTCTGACACATGTATCAAAGAACACTCATCTCCATCGTCTTGATTCTGTGTTCAGTCTGTGTCATGATATTGATGATCTGATCCGTTAGCTCGGACCAGTTTGGTTCATGTTTTGTTTGTTAAGGCATCCAAAGAGATTCCCAGCATTATTTTATGTGACAATCCCATCGTTTTTGCCTTACTTTCATGACCATGTTTGGTATTTGGAATAACTGATTTTACTGATTTTTCGTGAATTGCCGACGCATGATTAAGTAAGGATAAGATCAATGGAAAACAACTTCTTTATAACAATTAGGCAACTCGCTTGATAACGGTGTCAGAACCTACACTGAAACGTCGCTCCTAATTGTTATAAAGTAGTTGTTCATCCATATATCTCATCCTTACTTAGTATTCCAACTCAAAGAAGTCACGCATGATTATCAATGATTTCCAAACCAACAAACAAACCTGAAATAGTTTGACGTGTCCCCGGGTTTTCCTTGAAGTGTGTTTGTTCATGTCCTCAGTCAATGATGCCTCTAGCAACTGCCCCACGGCATCTCCGTCCAGAAGACAAGAGTTATCTACCCCTCCTTCCTGGATAAGTCTCTCGACTTCTGAGTCTCCTTCTCCGTTTGTTTCGAGGTCCTCGTCTTGGGGGTTGATTATAAGGAAGGGAACGCCTTCTTCCTTCACAATGATTGGCATGTCTTCCGTGACGATGGAAGACTTGTCACAGGGGCCGGATTGTGAGGAGGGGAGTCGGGAATGTGTTGAGGAGCTGGATAACGTAGAGACAGGGAAGGAGGCGTTGGTGCTTGCATTAGAAGACCCTGGTGACTCTGTGAGACAAAAGTATAATGGTGAGTTGAGGAGTTTGGTCTGACCCCGCGCTGCAATTCACTGTAAAGAGTTGCGTCCCTTGTGCGTGCCGGGAGGGTTTGAATTCCAGATTCGTCTTGATCATGCTTCTTGTTTTTTAACACTATCTTTGTGATCGTGGGTTTTACCATTGTGGTAAATGTCGAAGACCTGCACCAGCTCGGGCTTTGCTCCCACATCAAGCTGTCACGCAGTGTTACTGGATAACTGTTCGAAGCAGCGTTGGGCCTTAATGCCGACACGCTGTTATATACATAATGTTCAAAGTCGCCCGTAAAGATCTGGGTCAGAATAGGTCTTCAGCAACCCATGCTTGCCGCAAAAGGCGACTACGCTTGTCGTAAGAGGCCACTAACGGGATCGGGTGGTCAGGCTCGCTGACTTGGTTGATACATGTCATTGTATCCCAATTTCGTGGATCGATGCTCATGATGTCAATCACTAGATTGTCTTGTCCAGACTCGATTATTTACAGGCCGCCGTTATATAGCTGGAATATTGCCGAGTGCGGCATTAAACAACAAACAAATAAACTGTTCAAAACGGCATTCAAACCAAACACACTCACTCAGTAATTTGGGGAGGGAAGCCCAAAATAACAGCTTTCACATAACATATTTCACAAGCAAAATCAACGTGCAGTGTAAGTTGTTGATAGACCAAGGATCATAATCAGGGTGACTCTGGGATGTGAACCCAATGGATCCCGGCACGCTTAATGGACGAAATTGTGAACACATGTGCAGCTCTCATGGTCGCATATAGTACAGTCCCAGTTGATGTGACAGAATACATACCCTTAACTTTCTTGCTCCCTGTCTGCATATGACTCTCAGGCGTGGCCCTCCTCTTCCCAGCTCTTGAACCATCACCAGATCCATCACAGTGATCCATCCCCTCACAATCTGTTATTGAGGGAATCACCTGTTGCCATGGACCATGTGGACCAGATGGTCCATCACGTACAAATTTGGAAGTAAACATTTGGACGGGGACAGCTTCAGGAGCTGCTTGAGGATGAGGATGTTTGTGGCGTCTTTGTACAACTGACACCGATTCTACTGGGCTGTATCTTTGATTATAGTTCGTTACTCTAGATCCTGATACGGACTGGTTGGTTTTAGAAGGAAAGGGGTTATTCGAGCTTGTATTGTGGTCACCTAGTCTGTTAAATGATCCTCCGGTCTGAAACACAGGTCCAGGTTGGCTTCTGTCCCGCTGGATCGGTTTACCCGAGTCCCTAGACATTTGCCCATTGTCCTCGTGTATAATCCTCGCCTTCCATGGAGGACCGCTGTCTTCCGCCCTCTGTGGACTCCTGCTATTTCTCCTGACTGTTCTGAATGCCTTGGTGCAGTAGCTCTCGCTGATGACATCCCCCGAGTTCTGGACCAGTTCACTGAGAACGTATCTCTCCTTCTTGCTGTTGTCGATTTCAAGCGATAAGTAGCCGCACAGCTCAACAGCCTGGTCAAAAACAAGATACTGGCGACACAGCTTCTGCATGGCATCAATGAAAGAATGGAAGAACGCCTTGGAATACTGTCGGTCCATCGCCATTTCCTGCAACAAGAGACTGACAATTTGCACTGAAAGTGACTCGTCAGACATTTCTAAATCACACCCACTTGATCTGGGTTTCCTTTCAAAACAAGCAATAAACAAAGCTAATTTGAGGCGGTGAATCTTCTCAATCTGTTTATCAGGGATGGATGGGCACATTATGGTATATTAATAGCTGGGCCTCTTCGTGTTTTACTAATAGCTGGATTGTCTGGTCCAGACTTATTTACAGACTGCCGTCATATAGCTGGAATATATTGCTGAGTGCGGCGTTAAACAACAAACTCACAAACAAACTGATAGCTGGGACGTCATGTTATACAGTACGCCGGGTTCAATGTCATCGTCAGGTAAAGTCGAGTCTCAGCTTACAGACAGTTTATTAATGTCTGTTTCTCTCTAAACTTCCCTAAACTGCCTCCACAGTATCTCGAAATGCATGAGACCGATCTCAATTATATTATTATACTACTGTTATACTACTGTTGGCAATTACATCAAAAAAAATATGTTTAATTGAAATTAAAAGGTTGGTAGGGTTTTTTGCTCATTATTTTAATATTTTCATTTAATTTAACTGTTATTTTGACTGTTGCCACTGCAGTAGCAGTTTACTGTCATTCCTAATACAGCAGCAGCAGTAGTAGCAGTAGTTTGTTTGTTTGATTGTTTGTTTAACGCTGCACTCAGCAATATTCCAGCTGTATGACGGCGGTCTGAAAAACAATCGAGTCTGGACCAGACAATCCAGTGATTGACAACATGAGCATCGATCCAAGAATGGGGATACGATATGACATGCAACCACAAAGTCAGCGAGCCTGACCATCCCATCCCGTTCCCATGGGTTGCTGAAGACCTATTCTTCACCGGATCTTCACTGGTCAGTGGTGGTCGTAGTAGTAGTAGTAGTAGTAGTAGTAGTAGAAGTAGTAGTTTGTTTGTTGTTTAACGCCGCACTCAGCAATATTCCAGCTATATGACGGCGGTCTGTAAATAATCCAGTCTGGCCCAGACAATCCAGTGATTGATATCATGAGCATCGATCCACGCAATTGGGATCGATGACATGCTTCAACCAAGTCAGCGAGCCTGACCACCAGATCCCGTTAGTCGCCTTTTACGACAAGCATAGTCGCCTTTTACGGCAAGCGTGGGTTGCTGAAGACCTATTCTACCCCGGAATCTTCACGGGTCTGTAGTAGTAGGAGTAGTCAGTAGTAGTACCTAGTAGTCATTAGGAGTAGTAGTATCATTATCAATCGAGTTAACTAATATATAGTCATATGTTTGGCTTCCAAACACTATTTATGGACTCTTTATCAATAGTGATAATACTATAAATACTTATAATTAATATTGTTGTGTTTTTTTACAGTACAATATTCAGAAAGTGGGGCATTATTTATCTTACCATCGATAAGTTCCCATTCAATATATCAATACATGTATGACTAAGTAAAATAGATATATGACTGATGTTATCGGGGCTATAGCTCTGCATGATGTGATAACATAAACAGTAAGCTCTGCATCTCCTGGTGTGTAGTACCTCGCTTCACACGAATGGCTAGCCTGACCATATACTTTCATATATTGTGAATTTTAAGCTGACCTGTCGTGTTCAGAACCATACACATTCGCGATGTATACTTGTCTTACAACACCGACTGATCCCTACCATGACGTGCCTCGTCTCACTATAATTATAGCGGCGGCCATATTTGAGACACGTCCGCTGAGAAATCGATTGTTTTGAAATCGCCTAATTTCAGTGCCGCAAATCACTGATATGACCAATAATATACTCTTCCACGTGAGATATAGTATAAACTGTTCAAAACTTACCTGATATCGCTTTTTCGGAAACGGTATTTCACATTCGCAGTCAAATAAACAAACACCAGTATCGACGGGTCGAATGTCTCAAGTGTATCTCACTATCAACAACCCGGTTCTCGCTGGCTTCTATCTAGGTCAGCGAGATAAATAAGGAGTTGTCTCCCTTTGGCTGTCTCGCGAGACATTCCCGCAGAAGGAATCGCTTTTCAAAAGGCGAGATATGGCATTCGGTTCATTTTGGTAATAAATGACGTTAGCAAATAATAGAAAGTATCGTTTCAATAAATGTGTATCAACTTCAAACCTGGTTGTTGAGAGAGAGTTCTTTAAGATATATATCAGATGACAAACCTATAGCTACACGTAAGGAGATAGGTCCAAAAGGTCCACGTGCAATAACGCACGACCCTTTGACAGGCACTTTTCGCACGAGATGTCCGTGCTCGCGAATAGATTACTTAATTCAACCTGCACGGTGTAAAATTGGCGAAAGGTTAATACATTTAGAATTTTAAGATATTTATATTTCATATCAGAATCCTGTTTATGAGGCTTGCATATATTTGAAGTAAAAATATGTGTTGTATCTTAATAACTCAAGAGGTGTCTCCGTGTTTGCATCGTTTCACTATTCTCATCAAGGGGCGGTCGGGTAGCCTAGTGGTTAAAGCGTTCGCTCGTCACGCCGAAGACCCGGGTTCGAATCCCGACATTGGTACAATGTGTGAAGCCCATTTCTGGTGTCCCCCGCCGTGATATTGCTGGAATATTGCTAAAAACGGCGTAAAACCAAACTCACTCACTCACACACTCACTCTATATGAGGGGAAGGTTTGATGTTTGTGGGTGAGGGAGCCCTTTGATCGAAAGCATGTCTCTTAATTATCGAGTTTCAATGTGTGTTTTAGCGACCGATTCAGGACAACATTGTCCGAATAAAACTTTATTCCAAAGGCTAATTAGCATAGGTAGGTATATGTCTCGAATAATTTAATTGCCATTATATAAGACCCTATAATCCCCATTGTTCACCCTTATAACCAGCGTATTGAACATTTACTGTCAGCCAACATGAACGAGTTCTGCAACTATGTGACTCCTCATTAATATTACTTTTGTTCATATACATTACGGGGGCACGGGTGGCCCAGTCGTCTAAGGCGCCGCGATTCGCTGTGCAGAGTTGCGTCCCTTGGCCAAGCCAGAAACCTATAATTGTGGGTTCGAATCCCGGTTCGCCCCGATTATGTTTCTGGTTTTGTCAGCACCATACCCGTGGGTTTCGCCGAAGTGGTAAACGTCTAAGACCTGCATCACTTCGGACTTTCCTCCCACATAAGGCTGACACGCCGTGATATAACTGGAATACTGTTAAAAGCGGCGTTAAACCCAACTCACTCACTCATATACATTATACATTATACATTAGCTGTATTGCCCTTGTTCCAAAGACGGAGAGGGATGTATCGTACCCTCAGCCCAGCAGGGGTTAAGCCACTATCAATAGTGCTTCTTGGACATCTGCACTATTTCAATACTATGCCACAATCGTGTGGAAGACTTCCGCCCGTATCCCCCCTCCAAAAGTAGAATCTCACCCTCTTGTCTTTATATATCAAATATATCAACATGAGTTGATAAAAGTGGAAAAACTCCGAGGCTTGCCTTATCAAAAGACACGAGGGTGAGGTTTTATTTATCATCCAATATCATTCCTAAATCGAAATTCGCGTGAAAAAAAATTTCAGTGATTTATAAAAAACGATATGTACACTGTAGATCTCACCCATGCGATATCTCCTGTGGGAACCAGTTTTGGATTATAAATTTACATATATTTGAGGGGTGATACAGACGGAAGTCTTACCCAAACGGGTGACAATGGCAGCCCTTGTGTCCTCGTCATCCTGGAAGCGTCTTCCTCGTAGGGCAGATTTCATTTGCCGGAACAGGAAATAGTCACTGGGGGCTAAGTCTGGGCTGTACAGTTAAACCACCCACCCTACAGCCCAGATTTAGCCCCCAGTATAATGCCTGCCAAAGGCTCCTTGAGAGGAGATAAAAGTTTGCGCGCACGATTACTTTCTAGTGTATGAAATATGTAGGTAGGCTGTATGAATATAGACGGTGTGTCAGAGTCCCTTAAATCGATGTTGGCTGGACATCGGTACTCTTTTAATGTCTGATGTAACGAAGTAGTTTATTTTTGTACAAATAGGTGATAAATACATCAACGTTTTCGCTTATTTTCTCGCTATAAGAACGTCCTCTTCTGAGCTGTGACTTGGTCCTGCGGGAATAATTACAAGGTGATTGCCTCCATCCTCCATCCTCCATCCTCCATTCCATCGGGGATAACTCCAGAAAACCAGCGTGTGGTTAACATGGGCGGATACAGCTTTTTATAAAAGGGGGGTTGCACAATTAAGATCTATTTATTGTCTTTGGTGGTAATTTATACAGAAATAAAGGGGTTCTTTTAAATAAAAAGGGGGGGGAGGGGGTGCACACAGTAAAGCACAGTAAAGTTTATTACACAGTAAGGTGTGTATTACTGTTTTACATGAACAGTCTGAAGTAAATACAAGTGCCTCTTCTCGAATATATATATATAGAGAGAGAGAGAGAGGATTCATCACGAGTGTTTTTTAATATGGGAAATATCAACCGAGTCTTAGTTAATCGGTATTTGCCGAGCCTTTGGCGAGGCAAATACCGATTAACGGGACGAGGTTGATATTTCCCATATTAAAAAACACGAGTGATGAATTCTATTTATCATTTTCACATTTTTGCTTCCAAATTAAGGAATAATGGCATTAAACATTAACATCAGCAACTTGTCGAAATCTTACGTATAGATCGTGCATAGTGATATATGTGTTCCATAGCCATGTAAACCAAAATAAACAATTCGCTGAGAAAAAAAGTTCCTCGGATTATTTTAAACAAAATACTTGAACAGACTTTTACAGAATAATTGAAACTTTAATAACGGTAACAACAACGATTCTGTGTAATCTGATTATATCTCTGGTGTAACTTCACTTATAATATATAGTTTCAAATCAAACCGCTCCCTCTTCCGGTTATCTAATTTGCATATCTAATTTGCATACTTATGTCATTGGGGTATGACATACATGTTTTTATGTCATAAGCTTATGTCATGGATAAATGCTTAAGTTAAATGATAAATATATATATAAAGCACATAAAGTTCTAACTCTCAGGCACAATATAGTAATAATTAAATATATATATAATAAAATAATAAAGTCCACGTTAGTCCATCATCTTCTTTATATCAGTTTCAGATGAAACTAGATGATGGACTAACGTGGACTTTATTATTTTATTATATATTACATGTACACCGAGTGAACATTTACCTCAAGTATGTACAGACATGGTATAGCAGTTTAATGGTTGGCATTGCATTTGTAGTGAATATTGAATTTAAGGGAATCGAACTGGTTCGCTGACGTACACATACCTACTGGCCTAACCAACCGCCCGTATGTATGGAAAGGATGTCACTGTTGTCTGTACAAATTGAGAGTATATTGTCTTTCGAACATATTTGTGTACATATTTCGGTATACGAGAATAAGGTGGTAATTGAGACCCCTTAGTGTGGGTTCGTTTCAAACAAGGTTTATATCTAATTCAAGCCAAAGGTGGATTTAATTGTCGACGCAGAAATATACAAATACATGACATACTCAGAAACAAAATTGAATGTTGAGTTTGAATGTTATAGAGAACACAAAATACAGTGTGTATGGTTTACTTATTTGTATAACATGGTACATCATATAATCCTCTTTCGCGCAGGTATTATACACTTAGACAAATACTGGAAGTGCATTATGTTACATTAATTAATACAAAACTTAAACATAAAAAAGTAATGTTTATAAATATGGCATAAATGTTATATAGCTTTCTAGCACTCACAGTGCATGTGGACAATGCATTGTTATTTGTTAATGGCCGACCCTCACCCCCTGGCCCAAACCCGACCATCGACCCCACACTAGACCCACCCACCCGCCTGCACATCTATTGCTTGGAGGGGTTCTTCCGCTTCGCCGCCCTTTCTTCGTCCAGTCTCTTTAGTTTTTCGTCCCTCATCTGGAGCTGATGCTCCGCCAGCATTTCTTTCAGGAACGCGACGTTTCTTCTCGTCTTTCACAGCTTTGTGCTTTATTTCTCTGTCCAACTGTTTCCTCTGAACCTGCTCAACTAGCCTGCAATAGATTATTGTAATTGGAACATGTCAATCGAATGCGCATGCACTGGTAAGTCATGCATATTTATTACTTACTTACTTACTTTGGAGATTTAACGTGCGCTTTCCGACTGATGCGTATTTCGCACACGGGCTCGGCCAGGCCATTTCATGTGTTTCCGAAAGGGGCGAAAGTGGTCTGTGCAACCCAAGAGGGGGCTTTAGGGGTTGCTTATATAGAATTTGGGAATTTTGAGATTTGGAATAGATGCCGATGGGGTTGGGGGGGGGGGGGGGGGGGGGGGGGGAGAGAACTAAGGGAGCTGGGTATGGTGGATGTTTGTTTGTTTATGTGATTTTGATTTGGTAGATTATTGTGTTTTTAGATGCGTTTTATTAGTTCCGTTTTGATTAAGAATACGCCTAAGGCCTTGAAGTTTTCTAGTTTATTTTGTGGGTTTAGTATTGCTTCTAGAGTGAGAGCCTTGTTAAGATTGAGGGTTGTTTGTAATGCGGTTCGATGTGTTAGGTAGTGTGTGCAGTGGATGAGTGCGTGTTCGGGGGTTTCTAGTTGTTTGCAGTTGCGGCAGTTACCTGTAGTGTGTTTGTTTTTTTAAATTTAGGTGGTTATTTAGGTTGGTGTGTCCTGTTTGGAGTTTAGTGATTACTCTGTCGATTTTTTTTGATGGATGGAGAATTTTTGGTTTGGTTAGTGGTTTGCTGAGTACTTTTTTGATTTGGCTATTTGAGGTTAGATATAGGTTATGCCATTTTTTAGTGATTTTTTGCTTGTTTACACTTTGAATTTCTGATTTTGAGATGGGTAAGTTTAAGCTTATTTCTGGGATTTTAAGGGATAGTTTAGCTGCTTTATCGGCGTTTTCATTACCGTATATTCCTACGTGGGCGGGTATCTACAAGAAGGTTATTTGTTTGCCTGCCATATTTATGCAACGTTAGGCTTTATATAGTCTCTCTTACATATCACAATTTATAATAAGATAACCCCCCTCCCCCAACATCCTCGTACAAATGAGGTCATGGGGGTAATGTCATACCTGTCAAATCTAAATTCATCAGCTTTCTGTCTCCTCCTCTCAGCTGTGTAGAAGCATCGCACTGGGATTTGCTCCAGACGTCGGGGTGGTTTGCCGCGGGCAACACCGCACTCGGTGGCGGGCACAGAGAAAGCAACCCCACCGCGTGTCTGGTGGACAGGGACCAACCCGTCATCTCTGAGCTGCTGAAGAATCTCATCCCCTGTCAGGCGGGGTGTGGGCGGTGCCACCTGCCACTTAGCGTAGTACAGCTCGTGAGGGCAGTTAATCTTGCCCGCCAAAGCCTCCTCGGGGGATGTTTGCTTCATAGGTTTAACCTTAGTTTGCCTACATCCCATTTTAGATGATAATCTTTGACACTGCTGTGCATGGGTACGACTTGTTTCCATGCGCATATGGACAACAATAACATGACGTCACAATAACGTGACATATCAGAGTAACATGACGTCAGAGATAATGTAGATTCTGGGTGCATTTTGTTTCACTTAAAATCGCTAGTCAGGAGCTATGTTTTTTTCGTGTTTTTTTTCAAGCATGCCCTTGAAAACAAAATGCGAAGAAATGCCATTTTGAATTCACATTTATAATTTATTCTCAACGCCGCATTAGCAATTTTGCTGCTATTCCAGACAGGGCTGCGAGTGAGTCGGGAAAACCTGCCAGTGTGAGGTGAATGATTAAATTTTCACGTTCGCATTCTGCTGTTGAGTTTGAATTAGTAAAAATATCTTCTCTTATACTAAACAAAATCCATAACATAATGCATTTATATAATTGACGAGACAGACAGATTTTTAAAAACATGAACATGAATGTTCTCTTGCAACTTTATATGGCTATAAAGGGTTCGTGTAATGTTCTCAATAATGAACGTTTTACGTGTGAATTATAAGAATCGTTATTCGATCGTTAACTTTTTATATATTTTTCATATTTTTTACATTGACTGTAATGGTATTCACGAGCTAGTGTTTGTTGAAAAAGTAGTCATTACATTCTTTGCCTTTTGACATCACATTTAGCGGCATGCAATAAAGAATGGAAATTGAGAGTGATCTTCCCCTGATCTTTCAAAACAGGCGCCATTTGTGTGAGACATGTGAGTTTTCCACATTGTTGTCTCTTAAGTATTGTTCATTTGATAAATACTGCACATGGTTTTATGTCGAACATATAAATGTTGCCTTCCGAAACAAGTACAAGGCAGCTTAACAGGTTCAACCTAGTGGATGTTTTTATTTTCCACTGACCACCAGACGCACCGGCTATTTCTGCCAGTGACGAACAGATCATGATATATTTTAGATTTAGTTTTATATTCGTACTTACACGCATGTTGGATCGATTGTGTTATAATACTGAAGCAACAATTTAACGATTTACGTGAGCATAGGTAAAATAATTGCCATCGTGCTGTTAATTTGAGACAGTCCTTCATCAACTATTGATCACACCAACGAAATATAGAAACGCGATAATATTAAACTTAAAAATACTAAAATACTATTAGGCAGAATTAGGCTTAAACGACCTTTACTTGTTTGGCGTAGACGGAACTAAACATACTTGCCAATATGTCCCAGTAACCAAATCCAAAATATGAATTCCAAACGTTAAACTTAATCAACCCAAACTATCATTTGACATGTTTACCATGTTTACTCAAAGATCACCCTACCAATATTAATGTATGTTAGAGTTTACTGTTCATCATCACTATCATGTCATTCATCATGTTTATATCATTAGTTATTCACAAATACAACAGGCCACATTGTTTTAGCAGAACATTTGACCCCACATGACCCCACATTTGACGCCATGTGGTATTGCTGTTGGACCACGCCCCATTCGGTACTACTGTCGACACAACTTATGTCAAATGTAACTTTCTGCCACCCAACACCACATTGCACATTCAGCGACTAGATGCCGGGATAATAAAAAGAATTTCAAGCTTTATTATAAAAAACAGCAAATGAAATTACACCTTGACAAAGTTGATGCTGAAGTACCACAAGCCCTAGACGTCAAGCGAGCTTTGCTTTTTATCAGGACTGCTTGTAAAGAAGTGAAACAAGACACAATCATTAACTGTTGGCGACACTCAGTATTCTCCCCGATGTGCCAGTTACAGCTGAACCTGTCATCGATGATGATAACACAGAAGATGAAGCAGACGACAGCGAGCATCCAATTATCCCACCAGCAGCACATCATCAAGGCACATCTCGCTCAAATTGCATACTTTGTCAAACACCACTTGGATGTGTTTTCCGTTACTGACTTGGACTTTATTACAAACATGCAGGGGTCTTTGAAGATTCCGGGGTAGAATAGGTCTTCAGCAATCCATGCTTTCTGTAAAAGGCGACTATGCTTGTCGTAAAAGGCGACTAACGGGATAGGGTGGTCAGGCTCGCTGACTTGGTTGATGCACGGTCATCAATCCCAATTGCGTGGGTTGATGCTCATGATATCAATCACTGGATTGTCTGGTCCAGACTCTATTATTTACAGACCGCCGTCATATAGCTAGAATATTGCTGAGTGCGGCGTTAAACAACAAACCAACCAAAATAACAGCAACTAGGGCATCTGGGTGTATCAGTTAATGCCAGACCGTAGCGCTGATGGTTTATGATAAACTGAAGGGGAGGGCCGTCCCTTAGTATTATGGTCTCTGTTGACATTCATTGGGGCCACATTCATCAAACACAAATTGGTCATTCACTTCAAATGATAACTGAACATCAAATTTAATTATGAAAGCATTTAACCCAAGCTATATACTGGGGGGCAAACCCTTCATTCCCCCTGTTATTTTAACAAGGCAGACAACATTGGCAGCTGAAAATAACTTGGAAACCGTTACTAAGGTAGGAGCGCATCCCGATTCATTCTGGTCAGATCACAAATATCTAGTTGACTTACCTTGCTTATCAGAACTTTGCTGTGTTCTAAGATGTCATGAGTCAAAGGCTTACTGATTAGAACTAAAGAAAGGTTTGATAGAGCTTCAATATTCCTATCATTCCACCTAATAAGAACAACAGAGAAATATTTATGATAATATCAATAATGACACACAACTTTTAAAGGGACTGTGATCTCTGACAATCTGCTGGGACTGGTTGTTGCCTTTGTTGTTGTTTTTTTCTGGTGGATGTCCATTTATTTTATTATGATAACGAGTTCCAAACATTTTGATGAAACAAACGACAGGATTAAAAGAAAACTTAAGTAAAAGAAAATTTATATATGTTTTGGCTTCTAATCTTGGCATGATTATTCTATTCTGATGTTTTAAGCACTTTTGAACATCTGAATAATTTTAGTCAGTCTGTCACGTAAATGGATGTATATTTCAGTCAATTTTCAAATTTACCTGAATGAATCACATTTTTAACATATACATGTCTACAAATGAAAAAGCTTGTGAAAATAACTTCTTGTTGTCTGTCTCGCACTGAAGAACTTTCCAAAGAAAACGTAGACAAACAGTAGAGGAACAAGAATGATTCTGTTCAATGCTACAGCAATATGCATAAATTGTAATTACAACCGACCACTAACTATACCTGTAATAAATTCATTAACTGAGCATCAAGTGAATGACAACAAATACACAGGTGTTGTGTTATACCGGGAAACATGGATGACAACAAGGGAGTAGTGATTGTATTATCCATGCAATCCAAAATCCGAAAAATGTTTTCACAGCAGAGATACCTTTTTTCATTAAACTATAACCATCAGGGGTATTTCCAAATAATGGCATCAAATGAGCTTCCACCGTTCTTTATGTCTGTTTGGGTTGAAGAAATTAATTAATATGCACCTTAGTTATATCAAAATCTTCAGTGTGCAGAAATGGGTATAGATATTGCCTAAACATTTATTTTCGCTGTACGTACAGACGTTAGCCAAGTCAGTTGTGATGCTCAGTTTCTTTAACAAGCAGTCACGATATGGCTGCAATATTGCCGATGTGACTTAAAATTAAACTCACTCACTTTAACGAGCGAATCGACCAACAGCGACTAGTGAGCCCTGGCATTGAGTGTTGGACAGCGGGGAAGAAGCCAGAGATTAGTGCCCCTTTGGTGGGGATGAATAGGCTATGCCATGAACATATACAGGTAGAGGATGACAAGGCATGCTGATAATTAACCCCCCACTCACTTTTGAATGAGTTTTCTATATGTTGGTGTTGTTGCAGCATGGAGATCACCGACAGCAACATGCTGGCCCTAGCTGGGTACCTCCAGCAAACCCTGTCACCTGAGATGGATACCCGAAAACAAGGTGAGACCTGAAACACATCATTGTGGATACTGCTCACTAGGGCTGGGATGTTACACCAACTGTGCAATCCGATACGTATCACGATACCTTGTTCATGATCCGATATGTATCATGATACCTTGTTCATGATCCGATATGTATCACGATACTTGTAAGAGCTCTTATCTGTGGTGTGTAAGCCATCTTTTTCATAGACAGGATAGTCAAATATCTGGCACACTGACGATTTACAGCTGGCAGTGTCAAGTATGACGCAACGGATGAAAATATTTACTTTTTCACTGCTAATTAGTGTTTGGTGTAACAGCCATTTAAGTAAACATTTAAGGTATGAATCGATGTTTTGTACTTAGTGTGTGACTAAGATTGGGAAGTAAAATATCGCGATCCACCAATGCATCACTGTATCGTCCCACCACTACACACAAACCTAATGCAGGAACTCATGTAGGAATTTTAGCAAACTCATTTTCAAGCGTTAGATACAAGAAACTATTAGGGCCTTTTCCTGTATATCATGTTTTATTGACCTGTTATCTGTGACCTGTTATCTGTGAAATGCAAGTAATCTAAAGATCTTTTCAAAACAAAAACCTCAGTCTGTACAAGAAACTTTTGGGTTTGTCTTTCCTCATTATTTTCAGCAGACTTGGTGTTAATATATACTCACCGCCAAAAGAAACGTGAACCATAGAAATGTATAGAGAAGTATGTACGTTAAGAAGAGATGTTTCCAATGTGTTCCACTTTATGACAAAACTGACAGTCAAGTTTTACAACAGACTATCTTTATTCTTATCACGATATTCTGAACGTGATTTCCAAACTTTACACGCTAATCCAGCATGAGACAAATGGGGCATCTCGAGTTATGGATCTATGATGTCACATGTTATGCCTTCATAAGCTGTCGATTCACACAACATACCAGTTTGTTCATTTGTGTGTCAAACCAATCTAATATCTCTTGAATATGAGTAATTCTTCATATATTAACCATCATGTGTGGTAATCACGTTTCTATTGTCGATGGATATATACATGATATATGAGGTATTAACAGCTGATGTCATTAGACTTTGGCTATGGACTTGTGGCTAAAGTAGTAGACTGGATAATATTAATCATTATAAATAACCTGAATTAAGAATTTTGTTGAGACAATATATGAACCCAGAGCTCCAGATAAGCTGCGTATTTGCGTAAAATACGCATCAGAAATGCAGGAATACGCAGTAAAATCAAATCCAAGCGCATCAAATACGCAACGAACATTACAGATACGCTACAAAAATTAAACTTCTGCGTATCATCAAATTATTGTGAAGTAACCCTGCGTATTTGACTAGCAAATCAGCAACTTATTTTCAAATAATGGGCATTCCGTCAACCTTGCCAAACTCCACGATGACAGTAACATCATGAACATTTGCCATCACACTTTCTTGTGGAAGTATCGTGGTATTTTTGAGTCCTATAAACATGATAAAGCTCTTGAACCCACACGACACCACTAGATGAATAGTGTTTTTAAATATTTAACTTAAATACCCACATAAGTAAAAACTAGTGGGTAACAGAAATTTGAATACCCAGATAGAATTACTGATACCCAATGATTTTAAGATGCATGGGTAAAATACCCACAACACCAAAAGCTTATCTGGAGCTCTGTGAACCAGTATGCAAGTATTTGTTGACCTTCTGCACTCTGCAGGGCTTGTGTTATCTGCTGAATGGATGTAGAAAACTGTTGTCCTCATCATAATGTATCCTCTCTCTCCATGTGACAGCTGAGAAGTTCCTTGAGTCTGTAGAGGTGAACGAGAACTACCCACTGCTGCTGCTGCATCTGATGGACAAGGCTGAAGTTGAGCCCATTGTCAGAGTCAGTTCCGCAGTCACATTCAAAAACTACATCAAGAGGAACTGGAGAATTGTAAGCACAGATTTTTTGACAGTATGATTCCCCAGATGCCAGTGCTAATTTCATGCTGTTAGAATAGCATGGGCAGACACATGAGGATTCATTGTTGTTAGATCCAAATCTCATTTCCAGTTTTCACCCTGTGGGGATTCTGGGTTAGAAGAGGTCCCCAGCTTCCTATGCTGGTCCGGGCGGTCCCATTTCTGGTGTTCCCTGCCGTGATATTGCCGGAATAATGCTAAAAGCGGAATAAAACCATACTCACTCACTCCTATACTGGTCGTAAGAAGCGACCAGATTGATCAGACTCGGCGACCTTGTCAATTCCATTGTGGCATCCCGACAACATGGATTGCTGCTCACAATATCATATAGCTGGGATGTTGCCGAGTGCATTATTTAACTAAAAACAAACTAACATTACCAGGTTTTAGATTGGTTGTATTGTAGGAAATTGACTTGTATTTGATAATGTTCCAGAAAATGTTGACGTTTAGGTAGTTAGGTAATAATATAGAATAATGTCCTGCAAATAGTTGATTAAGTCATGAAAATGCCCTAACACTATGTACCTCCTGCTGAATCACTGCATGATTTACGAGTTTCTTGAGTGCAACGTCACAGGTAGCCTCAATAAAATGCGGCCATTTCCTTACTGTATTATTCCTCATAAGTTTGATTCACTCTGTATTCCTTGATCACAACACTTGGCATTTGTAATACATGTGCTCGCTCTCCATGTAAAGTTTTGACACACACACACACTCACACATACACACTTGCTCACTCACTCAATCTCACTTATGCCTCACTCACAATCACACATTAACTCACACATACACTCACTCACACACACTCACTTGCTCACTCATACTGGACCCTTGAAGATCCTTTTATAGTATAGGTCTCCAGCAACCCATGCTGGTCCAGATTCATTTACTTACCGACGGCTGTCATATGGCTGGAATATTGGGGAGTGCGGCGTTAAACAACTAACATACAAACTAGGGCTGGGACGATACACCAACTGTGCGATCCGATATGTATCACGTTACCTTGATCACGATCCGATACATATCACGATACTTGTATGTGCTTGTATCTGTAGTGTGTAGGCCATATTTTTCATAGACACGATATTCAAATACCTCGCACACTGATGATTTACAGTTGGCAGTGTCAAGTATGGTGCAATGGGTGAAAATATTTACTTTTTCACTACTAATTTTTACTACTAATAAGCATGATAAGTGTTTGGTGTACAGCCATTAAAGTAAACATTTAAGGTATGAGTCGATATTTTTTACTTAGTATGCGACTGTGATCGATACTGTATCGGGACGTAAAATATCGCGATCCAAAGATGCATCGGTGTATCGTCCCACCACTAATACCAACACTCATACACTCACACACTCACTCATATACTCACACAATTTAATACACACATGTGTGCACTCATACTCATGTGCTTGCTTCCACTTACACGCTCACTCATATACTCACACACTTTCGTACATACATGTGCGCATTTACACACTCGCTCACTCATACTCTCTGACACTCACTCTCATCTTAACATGGCAGTACTGTTGATACATGTGTTGTCAGACTGATGAGGCCGGAGACAAAGTCCACACTGGTGACAGAACTGCCATCAAGCAGCATATTGTCGGCCTCATGCTCAAGAGTCCAGAACAGATCCAAAAACAGGTGAGCTCACATCCTGAACTGTGACAGTTTTGATGGTATGGTTAATATTGCCTTTCTGCTGGTCAATTCATTGGTCAGTCAAAATTTGCAAAAGGTTATTTTGACTTGACCTGTAATCAGGGGTCCGGAAACCGTCATATGCGCCGGACATGTCCGATTGGGAATCTCAAATGTCCGTTTTAAAATATTGCTTACCGGACATTTTAAAAAGTATTGTCCGGACATTCTTAAATTTTGACCGGACATGATCAACAGTTAGGACTGAGCAATTTCTGTCTGCAGTTGCAACACAATGAAGATTAACTACACTGACAAGCTTTGTTTGTTTTGATTGCTGTAAATACATCGTACCTACATGATAGTCCAATCGGTCAATCACTGTAATAGGCAATAAACTGAGTTGACACTGATTAATCGAGGATTAATTACTGAGAACATCTTGTTAATTTGAGGGAAAGGTGTTTACAACTGTACATTAATACCTTGCATCATCGATGTACCTCATTATCCTCACAATGCTATGATACGTAACCTCAGACAAGAAGCGAAAGCGTGACGACAGCCAGTCGACCGATGCAGATCAGTCGAGCGGATCTGCCAAACCCTCAAAGTCTGGACGATCATTTTGTAAGTCGTGGCTAACGACTTTCACTTGGTTGACATACAATGAGGATTTGCAGATTTTATTGTTTTCAGTAGCTAGTCGTATATTGAATCTTGATTGACCGCCATTTTGCTTTCTCGGACGATCGATATCCTATTTTTTTATGGTCAATAAATAAGTACAGATGAAAAAAGTATTCAAATAACTATTGCTATCAACGATATTTTAGTATTTGTGATTAAATTATCTGTCTTGTTTTTAAAAAAATCTTTAGTTTAAAAAAACCCATTTCCCGTGAGGTCACGTGATAACCAAATATGGGATAATAGTCTCTATCCAAATGTTACAACGCGTACACTTGAGTAGACTCATGAATATAACTCATGAATATTAATTAGACCGTTCACTACGTTAACAGATCGTTATTATAACAGAAACAAACGTATGTTTTCCATGTAAATCTAAAATGATATTATTTGTTATTAATTGTCCGGTGAATTAAACAATTTAAATTGAAACAATTCATAATTCATCATATTATGAATACGTAAACTTGTAATGTGTGTGAAAAGTCGTACTAAAATACGCTATTTGAAGGGGGCGTGGCCTAAATGCAAATGTCCGATTGGGATTTTAAATTTTCCGGACCCCTGCCTGTAATGTTATGTCCTCAGATGTTTGGCGTAGCGCAAGTGAGCACTAATATCTGATTTTAACGAGACCCGTTGTGTATGTTTTTAGACCTATAAATGAGTTTGGGAAGACAAAGTAAAAGGGTCACTGACGGTAATATCGTGTGTGTGTGTGTGTGTGTGTGTGTGTGTGTGTGTGTGTGTGTGTGTGTGTGTGTGTGTGTGTGTGTGTGTGTGTGTGTGTGTGTGTGTGTGTGTGTGTGTGTGTAAGTTGAGTTTGTCAGTATTTTAATTTTGACGACTTTCAGCTAAGTGATGCCATCAGCATCATTGGACGAGAGGACTTCCCTGACAAGTGGCCGGACCTCATCTCTGAGATGGTCAGCAAGTTCCAGACCGGCGACTTCCATGTCATCAACGGGGTGCTCCGAACTGCACACTCTCTCTTCAAAAGGTGACTTATATACCCCTATAACACTGAAATAAAGATTACCAGGTTATATAACTGTCATTTTTAGGTTCAGTAGATTAAACATAGAGGACTCAGTCAAGAATCTGTCATTATCCTCTTACCATAAGGTACATATTCTCAGCCTTAGAAATTTGTCTTTTTTTAAGACAAGTGTATACTTTATTTCACTTGTCTTCAAAGTTAATATCTTGGCCTGTTCAAATAAGACAAAAATGTTGATGCAATGTTAACATTTATTGTCAGTTTTTATCCCCATTTTGAAAGCTTTTTTTTTAAACCTTGCCATAGAGAACAGTCTAGTGGTGAACTGGTGTTTTTTGATGATTTGGGATACAGGAATGGAGTTCCTTTGTCCGTCCGCTTATAGGTGGGGACATATTTATGTTAGAGAAATGAATTTTTTCACACTGATGTTACTGGTCATGATCATAAATGATTTGGAAAATTGGTTCCGTCAATTATTGTTTAACAGAGTTATGGCCCTTGTTCTGTGTTTTTCTACTTAGTGCATACTGCGTGAAATGGGGACAAATGTACTCAGAAACTACTATAATTACATGAATGAAAGCATGCTATCTAATAGATACTTGTCAAGACAGTTAAAAAATTGGTGCCATAATGTTTTTGTTCCAGAGTTACTTCCCTTGCTACATGATTTTATCCCCTGCAGTGTCTAAAATGGCGACAAGCTTTCTCAGACGCAACTGAAGTTACATGAATGAAAGTTAGCATACTTATGTAAGAGATACTTATCAAGACTGAGTTCAAAAATTGGTCCTATAAATTGTTTACCAGAGTTACATCCCTTGCTACATGTTTTTAGATATTTCTACAGCTGATGAACATTTCTCCATGAAACCATTAAATTTCCAAGCTATTATTTGCTATTATTGTTGGGGTTTTTTATTTTCAAGCACATTTACAATAGCACCTTGAACTAATGTATAAAAAATGGAGGGTAATGGTGTGTTTGAGTAAAAACACATTCTAGTTTGGGATTTTTATTATACCCCCGACCTTTTAGGCCGGGGGTATATAGTTATACCAAGGTTCCGTCCATCCGTCCCAAAACTTTGTCCCTGCGATTTCTCTTAAACTATTCAGTGGATTCATCTCAAACTTAGTACATATAATCTGTCATATGGAGGGGTGCAGTCAAAAGAACAAAATTGTTTATACATGTATTAATTTTCCATTTTTATTATGAATTTTTCAAACCCTAACATGCTAACCCTATCCATTATTTAATTTGAAACTACTGACACACTAGGCGGGTCGGGGGTATTAGTGAGCCACACTTGCTTTTGCACTTGTTTTTTGTTTGTTTTCATGACCAACATTAATTTTTTGGGAAAATTAACAGAAGGTATCCATTGGCAATGGGCTAAAAGTGGGGTATAAGTAACCAAACTCTTTTCAGAATTGCACCAGAACGTCCGGATATGTCATCTCCTGATTACTCTTCTATTTAATTAAAATTTACCTCAACATTGATGCATTGAGAACTGGTTCAGAATTGCAGCCTTCAATGCAACTAGTCATTGATGACGACCATAATTGGATTTTTACTTTTTCTCGGCACAATTTAGTAGTCTCTGGCTAGCAGTAGCAGTCTAGTGGAAATTTCAAAGACTTGTCTGAATGGATACAAACAGGTCTCTCATCAAAACAGTTGGTTGTATATTTTTATCCCCCTGGCATATAATGTTGGGGGGATATAGTCAAAGCCTCGTCTGACTGTCTGGCCGTACATCTGGCCGTCCATCCATAATCATGTCGTTTCCGGAGAGTAACTTGAAAACAGTTCAATATTTTTCAACCACAATTGGCAGATATATCAAAAAGGTCCTGAAGTTGTGCATTTTGCATTTTACAGATTTGGGGCATTTTCATGGAAACAAAAGGGGGTGGAATCATTTCCAGATCACAACTCAAAAACCAATCAATATCATCCAACAAAACTTGGCAGATATATCAAACAGATCCTGAAGTGGTGCCCTTTTGCTATTTGGGAATTTTTGTTTTTTTTGGTTTTCTTGATTTGCATGGAACCATACTGAACAATTGTGTGGGGGTAACTTGAAAACTGTGAAATACTTTTCATCTAAACCTTGTACATGTATAAACCAAGGGCTGAAGTCTAGCCTTTTGCTATTTAGGAATTTTTTAGAATTTGATTTGCCCGTTTCCAAGGAAATAAGTTAGACTTGTTAGACTGAAATTGGGGTAGGTGTTGTTTCCAGAGCAGAACTATAAAACTATTCAAAACATTTTCCATCCAAACTTGCTACATGTATTAATCAAGGGCTGAAGTGGTGCCTTTTGCTGTTTACATTTATTGATTTATTGATTTAGGAATTTGAAAAAATAATAATTTTTTCCTGTTTCCATGACAACAACTCTGACTTTGACTAGTGTTGTGTTTGTCCCGACCATATAACTAAAACTAATAGGTACTTTCTTGAAACTGTGCACATACAAATACCAGGTTGTCAACTGGTGCCTTTTACTATTTAGGGATTTTTCGAATTTACATGTTTTCTGTTTCCATGGCAACAAATTTGACTTTAACTCTGTTCATAGTGCTGTGTAGAAATACAATTCCATGGTATTGTTTTGATAGCTCAATAACTACACTTGTATACAGACAGACATATTAGATAGAAATTCTCTCATCAAGTTGGACTTAAAGTAACTGTCTGATGTTTTGTTCTTTCAAATTTGTGGGGGCAGGGGCACTTGTCATCTTTTGATGACTATTTTGATGACCAGTATTAGATATTTCATGAGATCTATCAAAACCTATGTGGTATGGTATCATTGTCGTCATCCTACATGTCATTGATGTGTATCCATGGTCAACTGCTAAGCATGGATCAAGAAGACCCGTGAAGATTCTGGGGTAGAATGCTTGCCGTAAAAGGTGACTATGCTTGTCGTAAAAGGCGACTAACAGGATCGGGTGGTCAGGCTCGCTGACTTGGTTGGTACATGTCATCGATCCCAATTGCGTGGATTGATGCTCGTGATATTAATCACTGGATTGTCTGGTCCAGACTCGATTATTTACAGACCGCTGTCATAAAGCTGGAATATTGCTGAGTGCGGCGTTAAACAACAAACCAGCCAACCAATCATGTAGATAGTTCACCCCTATTTTATAGCCAAACTGACAGGACACATGGCAATATGAGAATGGCAGGGGCTAAAACACATACCACCAGATGAAATGGGTTAAGTTGGTGAAAAGATACTCGACAACAGATGCATATCTGGCGTCGTGTAAGAATTGAATTGAATGGATAGACTTATCAAAACTTAAGAAATTAAATGTGTAATAATGATGATTTTTTATGCCACTTTTCAGATATCGGCATGAATTCAAATCTCAGGAACTGTGGACAGAGATCAAATTTGTATTGGAAAACTTTGCATCCCCATTTACAGATCTGTTTAAAGTAAGTGAAAACTAGGTAGCTGAAACAATGCACGACAGGTCAACAGTTCCTAATGATGGGACTAACATGAGGGTGTCCTGAAGGCTACTGAGAAAGGGAAATGAGTAAATAAGTTGAAATTGAGAAATTATCTATTTGTGGATTCAACTATGGTATTACAACTCTATTTGTTCCACCCAGGCAACCATGGAGTTAGCGAAGACCCACGCCTCAGACCCATCTGCTCTCAAGGTCATATTCAGCTCCATCCTCCTCATCTGCAAGATATTCTACAGTCTCAACTTCCAGGTGAGCTATCAGTCATCACAGTAACAGTGTCAAGGACAAGTGTTCATCATGTTTAGATGTAGAGGCAACTTACGGGATCGGTCGGTCAGGCTCGCTGACTTTAGTTGATGCATGTCATTGTTTCCGAATTGCGTGGATTGATTTTCATGATATCAATCACCGGATTGTCTGGTCCAGATTTGATTATTACAGACTGCTGTCATATAGCTGGAATATTGCTGAGTGCGGCGTTAAGCAACACACAAACAAAACCTTACTGTTATATTTTTCTAAATGTTGTGAAATACATATGTAAACAATTCAGTTTACATTGTTTATGATGTCAATCACCGGATTGTCTGGTCCAGACTTATTTACAGATCGCTGGAATATTGCAGAGTATGGCCTGGTGGTTGAAGTGTTCTTTGTTTCCCCTGCTTTGACATTGCTGAAGCGGCACAAAACCATTCACACTTACTCAAAGATTGTTCTATTGGTAGTTCCGTCCCAATTTTACTTTTGACCTCTCAACAGATGAAGAAAGTAAGAGGTGCCTCAGAGCAGGGAAAAATTAGGAAAGCTTAAGGTCAGAGAATTTTCAGTGGAATAGGCACTTACAAAGAAATTGTAATCTCTGAATGTTAATGAATGCTGTGAATTATTTCAGCCACATCCAATGCTAAGTCACATGGGTGATGTTTGTTGCAGGACTTGCCGGAACACTTTGAGGACCACATGGGTACCTGGATGACCCACTTCATGACCCTCCTCAGTGCAGACAACGAGCTGCTGCAGACAAAGGTGAGCAGTGGACTCCGTGCCAGCATTGAAGACAAACGTGGCATTTAATCAAAGCTAAATATGGTCATTTATGTATAAAAGAAACACCCTAATAATGATGTTTAGTAACGCTGCAACAATGATGTGTGTCAACACTGGCAGTGACGTGTAGCAATACTGTAACAATACTGTAACAATAGGGTCTGACAATGCTGTGTACAATGTGTATCACTAAACTAACAATGAGTAAAAACACTGTAACAATGATATGTAGCAATACTATGACTGTGTAACAACTCTATGTACAATGAGGTCTGACAACACTAAGAATGACGGGTAATTATCTTTATAGAATGTGTCACAACACTAATAATGAAGCTTAAAACAATATGTGTAGCAACATTAACAATGATGTGTATGAACAGTAACAACAGTGTGTAGCAACACTGAACAATGAGGTGCAACAGCACTTTAACAATGGTGTGTAACAACAGTGTAACAACAATGTGTAACAACACTGTAACAGTGATGATCAGTGCAGCAACACTGTAACAAGGATGTGTAACAACATTAACAATGATGTGTAGCAACAATGTGTAACAGCACTATAACAATGATGTGTAACACTATAACAATGATGTGATGCAACAATGTGTAACAACACTAACAATGATCTGTAGCAACACTATAACAATGATGTGTAACAACAATGTGTAACAACACTATTACAATGATGTGTAACAACACTAAAACAATGATGTGTAACAACACTAAAACAATGATGTGTAACAACACTATAACAATGACGTGTAACAACACTATAACAACAATGTGTACCAACACTATAACAATGATGTGTAACAACAATGTGTAACAACACTATAACTATGATGTGTAACAACACTATAACAATGATGTGTAACAACACTATAACAATGATGTGTAACAACAATGTGTAACAACACTATACCTATGATGTGTAACAACACTATAACAATGATGTGTAACAACACTATAACAATGATGTGTAACAACACTATAACAATGATGTGTAACAACACTATAACAATGATTTGTAACAACACTAAAACAATGATGTGTAACAACACTATAACAATGATGTGTAACAACACTATAGCAATGATGTGTAACAACAATGTGTAACAACACTATAACAATGATGTGTAACAACAATGTGTAACAACAATATGTAACAACACTAAAACAATGATGTGTAACAACACTATAACAACAATGTGTACCAACACTATAACAATGATGTGTAACAACAATGTGTAACAACACTATAACTATGATGTGTAACAACACTATAACAATGATGTGTAACAACACTATAACAATGATGTGTAACAACACTATAACAATGATTTGTAACAACACTATAACAATGATGTGTAACAACACTATAACAATGATGTGTAACAACACTATAACAATGATTTGTAACAACACTAAAACAATGATGTGTAACAACACTATAACAATGATGTGTAACAACACTATAGCAATGATGTGTAACAACAATGTGTAACAACACTATAACAATGATGTGTAACAACAATGTGTAACAACACTATAACAATGATGTGTAACAACACTAAAACAATGATGTGTAACAACACTATCACAATGATGTGTAACAACACTATAACAATGATGTGTAACAACACTATTACAATGATATATTACAACACACAAAAAATGACAACAACGCTGTGCCTGCAGGATGAGGAAGAGGCGGGTTTGCTGGAGCAGGTCAAGTCCCAGGTGTGTGACAACGTGGCACTGTACGCACAGAAGTATGACGAGGAGTTCTCCCTCCATCTTCCACAGTTCGTCACCGCAACCTGGGGACTGCTGGTCACAACTGGTCAGCAGGTCAAGTACGATCTGGTCAGTATTAAAGCGTGCACAGTAGGGTGTTATGGTGGTTGTTGAAAGACTTCAAAACAGGCATTCACATTGTATTGCATTCAATCTCATGAAAATCAGATCAGAGTACATCCCGTTACAGGTCATGTCAGAATGACCTTTCGCGAACTTTGACCGACCAATGAATGACTAACATGAAGTTGTCATAAGCCAGTCAGAAAGCAGCTTTCTCAAGCTATACAGCACTGGTTTTAAACTGCCGATTTCCAGTCCAGACTATGCTTGAACAGTATTTTGACAAAGTTCTCGATGACTGATGGCCAAGATTGTATGGCAGTAATATCCACAGGCTAATGCAAAGTTTCTGCTGTTCAAATGTTTATTCCATTGAAGCAAACAATGATTTTAACCGAATCTGTCATACAAGCCCGCAACTGTTGTTCGGAACACACCGTGTCAACATTTTTAAGGTTGCATGATTAGAAAATGCATTCAGACTGTCGCTTTCCTGATCTGGTAAAAGATGCTCTGATTGACCGAAAAAAGGTCGGTCTGACATGACCCTTATTGGGATGTCTATAGACCTTTGTCTAACGGTAGCGAGAACGAAGGTCTGATTTTAATGAGATTATATTGAATTGTATTGATCCGGCATTCCTTGACAATTCTTGATATCTTAAAATCGTCAGTTGGGATAAAGAAATCAAAGACATACCAGATCATTCCCACTCAATCACTTCTTTACAATGATTGACATTCATCGCAAGACATCTAGACACATTTATATTTCACTGTGATGCTGAGTATTGCTAGGAGCATTTGACCATATATAGTTAATCTTCATGTATGTACATTCTGTCCATTAGAATTACTCCATCAAAATCATTTGTGAAATGCGATACAGTATCCAGCAACTTATGCTAGCCATGAGAGGCGACTAAATCAATCGAATGGTCAGACACTGTGACTTAGTTGATTGTGTGTCACCGTGCCCCGTCAGCATGGATCGTTGTACACGATATAAATTACTGGATTGTCCGCCTCCGTGGTCTAGTGGTAGAGCGTCCGTCTGGAGAGCGGAAGGTCCGGGGTTCAATCTCCGGCCGCGTCATACCAAAAGACGTTAAAAGCTGGTACTTGTTGTTACCCTGTCTGGCGCTCGGCATTAAGGAGCTCAAACAAGGACTGGTCGGCTCGGAGTCAGTATACTGTGTCTGAGTGGGGTATTCATGTTAAACTGCGGCATGGTTTCTCAGTGAGCTAGCACTGTAAATCGTCATCAGTCCAGACTAGTACAAGCAGCCACACACACACACGTAAATGCACGTCGCTATATAAGTGCAATGATCTTGGACACAACGTTAAACCCCATTTCACCTCACCGTCTGGTCAAGACTCAAACATTACAGGCCGTCATCATATAGCTGGAATATTGCCGGGTGCAACGTTAAACAACAACCAAACAAAAACATTTACTGAATGCCTTATGTTTCAGCTGGTGAGTAATGCTATCCAGTTTTTGGCCTCGGTGGCCGAGAGACCGTCCTACAAGAATCTGTTTGAAGATCCTGCCACACTGGCCCAAATTTGTGAGAAGGTCATTGTACCCAACATCCAGCTGCGAGGTATGTCTTCTATTGTGCTTACGGCAATTTAAGCTTGTTACTGATGGTAACCTGTAGTGCAAGACCTGCCTACACTTTGCCATCCCCTGGCGTCTTCACTGATTGTCAGGGATCCATTCATCAGAGCTCCAGATAAGCTGCGTATCTGCGTAAAATATGCATCAGAAATGCAGAAATATGCAGTAAAATAAAATCAGAGCATATCAAATACGCAAAGAACATTACAGATACGCTACAAAAATAAAACTTGTGTGTATCATCGAAATATTGTGAAGTAACCCTGCGTATTCGATTAGCAAATCAGCAACTTATTTTGAAATTATAAATGGGAATTCCGTCAACCTTGCTAAACTCCACGATGACAGTTACATCATGATCATTTGCCATCACACTTTCTTGTGGTATCGTGGTATTTTTTAGTCCTATAAAGCTCTCGAACCCACACAACACCTGTTTGCAGGGACTAGATGAATAGTGTTTTTAAATATTTAACTTAAATACCCACATGTGTAAAAACTAGTGGGTAACCGAAATTTGAATACTCAGATAGAATTACTGATACCCAATGATTTTAAAATGCATGGGTAAAATACCCACAACACCAAAAGATTATCTGGAGCTCTGCATTCATACATTGGTAACTGTTTCGGCAGAGTATTGAGACTGGTTATTCTCTGACAGTGACATTTTACGTTTAGTACAACTAAAGTAGTGTTGGTTATGATGTTGGAAGAAAATACATGTACATGTACATGACTTCATCAAACTCATGAGAACCGTGAAGATCCAGGCTAGAATAGGTCTTCAGCAACCCATGCTTGTCGTAAGAGGCGACTAACAGGATTGGGTGGTTAGGCTCGCTGACTTGGTTGGTGCTTGTCATCGTATCACAATTGCGTGGATCGATGCTCATGATGTCAGTCACTGGATTGTCTGGTCCAGACTTGATTATTTACAGATCGTCGTCATATAGCTGGAATATTGCTGAGTCGGGTGTTAAACAACAAACATCATATCACATCAAGTCATGACTTGCCATTTGATTTCATGTTATAGCTGCAGATGAAGAATTATTTGAAGACAACCCTGAAGAATACATCAGACGAGATATTGAAGGATCTGGTATGTAATGAAGTGTGTTACTCTGTTGAAATTGTATTGATTCCTAACACCAACTCTTTCAGCTGCTTTCTGGCTTTCTCCAAATCTTTCCCATAAATATTCAGAAATTTTGGCAGATTTTACCAAATGAAGTATCCTATAAATTTTTAAACTTATCTCACACCATGCATTTCTTTCTTCTTCTTTCGATCCTGGTGTGGAATTGCAATATGTTGACACTAAAGTGGCGGTACACATGCTTTGCAAATCCTGCAATCGACCAAAATTGGCATGGCCGTTTACGAACCGAATGTTGATATTCGTTACACAATTATGATTGGACTAGGCATAGACTTATAATTGTAGCCTAGTTCTGCAAGGGTGGAAACTCCACTTTTATAGTCAGTTAACTCCCTTGCCTCGGGAAGATGCATGTTTGTTGTGAGAGCTGACAAGAATTGGCTTCATATGATGACAGACTTCAAAATGATGGTCACAATGGTGCTGACAATGGTCAAGGTCGTGTTGACAATGGTCAAGGTTGTGTTGAAGGATTGGGGAGTAGGAGAAAAGATAAACTTGAGCTGTTGGCATGTAATTTTTTCATATCCAATTTGACTACCTCCGTGGCCTCGTGGATAGAGCATCAGCCTGGAGAGAGGAAAGTTAATAGTTCAATCCCTGGCCATGTCATACCATAAGTTGATAAAAAATGGTATTTGTGGTCACCCTTCTGATGCTTGACACTAAGGGGATATAATAAGGACTCATCGACCTGGAGTCAGTATACTACGTCTGAGTGGGGTATCCATGTTAAACTGTGTGGGCTAGTATCTCAAGGGCTAGCACTATAAAAACGGCTTTAGCCTTAACTAGTACAAGCAGCCACACACATGCATCGCCATGTTAGTGCAATTATCTTTTTGTAGTGTTGGACACTTATCGCAATAGTTGGATTGCATACATAAGTAGCTCTCGCATAAAAGGCGACTATGCTTGTCGTAAAAGGCGACTAACGGGATCGGGTGGTCAGGCTCGCTGACTTGGTTGATACATGTCATCGATCCCAATTGCGTGGATCGATGCTCATGATATTAATCACTTGATTGTCTGGTCCAGACTCAATTATTTACAGACCGCTGTCATATAGCTGGAATATTGCTGAGTGCGGCGTTAAACAATAAACCAAACCAAACCAAAGTAGCTCTCGCTTACTGTAAGGCTTTAATACACTAAGGAGTTTTGGTTTTTTACCAAATCATACTGTGTAGTATATGAGCAACCCTCTCTGTTTTAGATGTAGACACCAGGAGGAGATCAGCCTGTGACTTGGTTCAGGCTCTCAGCAAATCCTTCGAAGGTCCTGTGATACATAACTTTTCTACCTACGTCAGTGGTTTGCTTGAGGTGAGATGCAGATTGAAAATGTTGGTAGATTATGATTATACATGTATCTTTGTCATCCGTCTTTCTTATCATGCTGGGGGCGGTTGGGTAGCCTGGTGGTTAAGCGTTTGCTCGTCCAGCCGATACACAGATAATTCATGTCATGTCCACAGCAAATGTGTGATTCCTTCTTGTTTTCCGCAAGTGTATGATTCATGCTTACTTAGTAGTTTACCTTTTGATGGGGATATTTTTATCTTTCCATGACACTTAAAAGATAAATTATAACAGATATTGGTAATGTGTTATTCTATTCCAAAAATAAGACAACTTTGAAGAGTATTTGACTTGTATAAATGTTTGTAAGTTTTGCACATGCTTATCTTGACTTATATACAGTTCACACTGGCTTGAAGTTGAAACTGGCAGAAGAAATAAACTCCCCATAATAAGAGATACTGTAAATGTGCTCTTCTAAAATTGTGGAAGACGAGTTGCATTTTATGCTACGTGTCCTGCATGTGATCAGTTACGGCAGATTTATATTGTGTCTTTTAATCATATACATCGGAAAATCCATAAATTTAATGCTCTACAAACAGAAAGTTGATTGTCAATCTCTCTAAATTCTTATACTATATAGTAAACACAAACAAGCCTGTGAGAGCCTTTGACCCTATTATTATGTACAAAGGGTTTGTGGCCTGAATGTGCTGAAATAAAAGCAATTCAAATCAAAAGATACACGGAACTGATTCCAATACTATGTCAAGTGTATATTTAAATAGAATGGGCATAGCTGATATTCCTTATCCAGAGTTGTATCATATTCCGAGCAGTAAGTCCAGATGTCTAGATTCACAGGGTTTCACGGTGAATATCTGCCCCTTCCTGTTAAGTGTTAATCTTACTGAGGATTATCTTATACATTCATTCCTTTCCAGGACTACAGAAAAAACCCAACAGCCAACTGGAAAAACAAAGATGCTGCCATATATCTAGTCACATCTCTAGCCTCTAAAGGTCAAACACAAAAGGTACACTGAATTGTTTTGTTTACCTTTTTCATAACATAAACTTGAGTTAAATATAACAGGAAGGTTTTGTTTGTTTGTTTGTTTGTTTAACGCCACACTCAGCAATATTCCAGCTATATGATGGCGGTCTGTAAATAATCGGGTCTGTACCAGACAATCCAGTGATTGATATCATGAGAATCAATCCACGCATTTGGGATATGATGACATGCATCAACGAAGTCAGTGAGCCTGACCACCCGATCCCGGTTCCTCACCTCCTGAGGAATATTGCTAAAAGCGGCGTAAAACCGTACTCGCTCACGCACGCACCCACCCACCCACCCACCCTCCATTGGGACATACTGAGACTTTGTTTTTTCCTGTTTCCAGCAAGGAGTAACACAGACAAGTGGTTTGGTCAACATGACAGAATTCTTTCAGAACCAAATACTCCCCGACATTCATTCTGAAAATTGTAAGTTGTTTGTGTCAGGCCTTGGAGTGATTTTTCTAGTGTTGCATTGTCTTTAGAAGAAGCACATAGGATGTCTGAATAGGTTTCTCTTTTCCATCTTCAAGTGAAGATTTTACTATGGCCTAAAGTAACTTGCCAAATATGTGTAAGCTAAGCTTGAGATTAAGGAAAACATACCTTTTACGAACATTGATGCACAGAACATTTTCTAGTGTTACATTGTCTTTGGAAGAAGCACATACAATGTCTGAATAGGTTTCTCTTTTATATCTTCAAGTGAAGATTTTACCATGGCCTAAACATGCTAAAGTAACTTGCTAAGTATGCGTAAGCTAAACTTGAGATTAAGGAAAACATACCTGTTACGAACATTGATGCACAGGTAGATATGAGGATGATCAGGGTTGATGTAATGCATACAACATATGCCGGTAATTCTAGTTCAGTTCATCACAGACATGGGTTGGGATTTCCTAATGGCTGAAGTGAAGGACCTGTCTTGTATAATCTTTTGTCTCGTCTTGCACCAGCTGTTCTTATCAACAAACCTTGTTTCTTTCAGTGAATGAAATGCCAATTCTAAAAGCTGATGCAATCAAATATTTGATGGTGTTTCGGAGTCAGGTGAGTGGATATTGGTGGACTGATCACATGATGTAGAAATTATTAGATAGGGAAATACCTATATGATACACCAGGGTTTTACCTTACTTTAATTACAGGAACTTTGTTTTTTGTCAAGATTTTTTTTGCAATTAATATTATTATTATCCCTTGGGACGCAGTAAATATTTTTCTGCATCCATTCTCTACATTTGTGGGTACTGAAGGCACATTTCTGTGTGACCGTCACGTACATGAACAGTGATATTTTACTGACCAACTGCTTGTCCTCCCACCAGCTCCCAAGGGAAGCCCTGGTGTCCAGTCTGTCCCATCTGACACGGTACCTGCAGGCATCCAGCGTCGTCGTCCACACCTATGCAGCTCACACCATAGAGAGGCTGCTGATGGTGCGCGTTGCCGGCGGAGCTGCTGCGTGAGTTGAAACAAGTGGTTCTAGAAGTCCCTGATGAGGAATTTACTATGGCAGTGTGCTAAGTTGTGTCCCTGAGTCAAGAATCCTAAAGCCAATATGATCGTGTTAGATATCATTTAAAGCGGCATTAAACCCAACTCTCACTCATGTTGATGATATTCATAAGGATTGGTCGATCGCCTCCGTGATCTAGTGGTAGAGCTTCCACCTGGAGAGCAGAAGGTCTGGGGCTTGAAGCCCAGTCCGCGTTATACCAAAAGACGTCAAAACATGGTACTTGTTGTTACCCTGCTTGGCGCTTGGCATTAAGCGGCTAAAACAAAGATTGGTCAGTCGGAGTCCGTATTCTGTGTCTGAGTGGGGTATTCGTGTTAAACTGTGGCATGGTATCTCAGTGCGCAAGCACATAAAATCAGCATTAATACTGACTAGTACAAACAGACAAGCACGCACGCACATACACCGCTATAGAAGTGCAATAATCTTAAACGCTTCATTATGCCCCATTTCACCTCACCTCACATAAAAATTGGTCAAGAAATAAATTTGTTCAAATCAGTGAAGCAAAAGTAATGCAGAAGTTGATTCAGGGTACAGTCATGCCCCGCTAATACGGACTTCAGATATCTGGAAACCGAGGTTCCCGGATGATTTTCATTCAAAACGAAATAATTACTATATAAATTTACCCGTATATACGGAAATTCAGTTTCTGGAACCGGATGGTCATTTTCATACACAAAACACTGAAATGCACACAAAATTGTCTCATTTACCCGGACAATACACTTCCGCTGGTGGTAATCCTTCCGCTGGTGGTAATCCTTTGATTCATGAGAAGTCAATTAACCAAGTGACACTGAGTTACGTTTGAGACGAGCTTGTTTATTGTACATGTAATCCCATTCGATAAATATGGCGTCTGTCAGCAAGTTTGGAAACCATCAGTAAGCATTATGGCACTGAATTTGGACATACCATAGGAAAATCGACAATTGGTGACATTTTAAAAGACAAGTCATTACGACTTGTCTTTTAAAATGTCACCAAGTGCCCATTAATGTAACTTTTCCAGTAAGAAGCTGGTTTCAGTTATACGGAAATTCGTTTATACGGACGAATTGTGAAATGACACAAGTGTCTGTATAAACGAGGCACGACTGTATTTGAATCATTCCGTCAGTTTGTGCTCTCTGCTTGATGCTTGTAACACGTAGCCAATATGAAAACTGTTCCCCTGTTTCAGTATCTCAGTGGCTGATGTTCAGGCCCAGGCAAGTAACATGCTCCCTGGTCTGTTTGCTGCCATGGAGATGCCGGGATCTGTCGAGAACGAATACATTATGAAAGGTAAGACGCTACAGGTATAGACACCATGAGGTAATACTGCTAGCCCACAGCTCATTTTGGACTTGTGCTTCATGAAACAAAACTAGATTCATTACAGAAATGGACTGGTCGTCATTTTCAACATTTTGGGACCAATGGGCTAGTGACCTATTTCGCTATTTAGATATTGCAGGAAGACACGATTTGATTGTTTTATAACCATGGTAACACTGGTTTAGAAAACCCAGTAGTGCACTTTAACTCATTATTAGCAACTTCTCAACTGGAGGCTTACTGCAGTTAGAGAATGATATTACAAGAAACGATTAAAACTTGTACCACGATAAATTCAAACTGTAATTCGACATTAACACATGACTGCATGTCTGCCTGCTGGTGCTGTTAGGATTGAGTTGCCTTGAGAAATACAGAGTTACTTCCCTTCTGGCCAATTACTGATGAAGCTGCAATTCCAGGTTTTGTTTACTAAAAACAAAGCCACTGTACACATAGGTATCAGTAATTCAAAAGATACACATCTCCAGTATAAGTGACATTCACATGTGGAAATGAATTAAATTAAAATTAAATTAATTAAAAACGTTTTGTTAATCTTCGAGCAGTGACAGGCAGTGATTAATGTTGATATTCATACAGATATAAGGGAGCCTTATTATTCTATCGGCACCAACCTAAACCTACTTCCGGTGAACTAGCGTGAGCCAGAGTGACCCCATACAGCATGCCTTGTCAAGGCACTTATCTGCTCACCCTGTGGGGATTCTGGTTAGAATAAGTCTCAGGCAACCTTTGCTGGTCGTAAGAGGCGACCAAATGGATAGGGTGGTCAGGCTTGGCGACTTTATTGTTTACGTGTCATAGTACCCCAACAGTGTGGGTCATTGAACACATTATCACACATTATCTGGTCCAGACTCGATTAATTACAGGCCACTGGAATGTTGCTGAGTGTGGCATTAAACAACAAACATTTCTCTGTTCAGTGTGTGAGTTGAGAAAGTCTGGGTGTTTGCACTGAACATAAGAATGATCCTGAATAATTAATGAGTAACAGTTTTTCGAATATGTCTGACGTTCCCCTTGTTTTGCAGCGATCATGAGAACGATGTCTCTACTGCAAGAACATATTATCCCCATTATACAAGAAGTGCTGAAGAGTCTCAAGAATAAACTTACTTTGGTCTGCAAGGTAGCGTACAGAAATGCTTAAGCTGATTCCGGGTATCCCAGATCATCTATGTTTGGAAACTCAATAACTGAATATGAAGATCTGGGGTAGAACAGATCTTCAGCAACCCATGCTTGCCATAATAGGCGACTATGCTTGTTGTAAGAGGCGACTAACGGGATTGGGTGGTCAGGCTCGCTGACTTAGTTGATGCATGTCATCGTATCTCAATTGCTCATGATATCAATCAGTGGATTGTTTGGTCCAGATTTGATTATTTAGAGACTGCTGTCATATAGCTGGAATATTGCTAAGTGTGGCGTTAAACAACAAACAAACAAAATGATAATTGAATACACAGTATGTTTGTCAAACTACTTTGTGAACTGTAAGTCCTGGATGATACAGATTTGGGAAAATAAGGATAAAACTTGTAGACTAAGTCATGTCTGGTACCCATTATTTAGGTGGTGAAATACCTCATGATGATGGCCTAACCCTTCTGCCAGTGAACACAAATGTGAAAGGATTCCTGGTTTAAACCGTTAGTTTGTTTGTGAAATAATAAAGTGCACACCAAAATTTAGGGTGGCTATTGTGAGGATTTTTGCTGTTGCAGTTGTCTTGTAATAGTGTAAGACACAGATGCAATACAATCTGCGACTTTAGCCACTAGTCCAAAGCCCTAGTCTGTTCAGTCTGGTAAGCTCAGCTAATAATAGTCCATATGATAACACTAGACTCTACAGAAACTGATGCTTAGAGCCATGTTCGGGTTAGTAGAGGCAACAACAGATTGTTTTGGAAGTTGCTGGTGGTTTAAAGGAGTTATCTTTTATTTTGCCCCATTTTTCTCTGACTGGGATAAATAGCTCACCTGGCCTAGTCACGAATCTTTAGCTTTAAGTTAGTTTTTAACATTTTTGGATTATTAATGCAGAAACTATTTGAATATCAATATTGACAGCAACTTTTGTTAATTGACGTCTTTATTGACATTTTATATTGTTGACTTACAAGACTACATGTCCAGGTGCCCATGAAGATCCGCGGTAGAATAGGTCTTCAGCAACCCATGCTTGCCGTAAAAGGCAACGGGATCGGGTGGTCAGGCTCGCTGACTTTGTTGATGCATGTCATCGAACCCAATTGCGTGGATCGATGCACATGATGTCAATCACTGGATTGTCTGGTCCAGACTCTATTATTTACAGACCGCCCGTCATATAGTTGGAATATTGCTGAGTGCGGCGTTAAATAACAAACAAACCAACCAACCAACCAACCAACCAACAACATCTCCAGGTGGGCTACATTGCCGTGGCACTATTTTTTGGAATGGAAATGATTAACAGTATCTTTTATTTTATTATGTCTATCAGTGTTAACAATGAATATTTTAGATTGCAATTGGGCCATGGACAGTTGCAATGCATTGAGAGCTCAATCAGTTGTCACATGCTTACTAGTATTGACTTTGATCCTCAGAACCCCAGCAAGCCCCACTTCAACCACTACCTGTTTGAATCTCTGTGTGTGGCCATCAAGACCACATGTAAACACCAGCCGGCAGCCATCAACAGTTTCGAGGACACTTTGTTCCCTCATTTCACTGAGATCCTTCAGCATGACATTCAAGGTGAGGTCACCAGTCACAGACAGGACTTAAATGACTCTCCAACCTTAGATTTTCAATTTTCTTGTGTGAACCTTATTTCACACTTCCGGGTGGTCGGGTGGCCTAGTGGTTAAAGTGTTCGCTCATCGCGCCGAAGACCCGGGTTCGATTCCCGACATTGGTACAATATGTGACCCCTGCCGTGATATTGATGCCCCTTGCAGTGATACTCCTGGAATATTGCTGAGAGGCATTAAAAATTATTCTCAATTATGCCATAATGAATATTTCTTTTACTTTGCAGAATTCATGCCTTATGTGTTCCAAATCCTGTCCCTGTTGATGGACCTGCACCATGACGGTGTTCCCGAGACCTACATGCAGCTGTTCCCCTTCCTTCTCACCCCTGTACTTTGGGAACGACCTGGGAACATCCCTCCTCTTGTCCGTCTCCTCCAAGTTTTCATAGAGAAGGCAGCCAAACAGATCGAGCCAGAAAAACTGGTGTGTTGTTAATACTAGAGTTTTAAATTTGTGCATTTGTCATCTGTTTGTGCAAAGAGTGAGTGAGTTGGTTTCATCACCGCTTTGAACACTCGTCTAAGGCACCACAATTCACTGTGAAGAGCTGCATCTCTTTGGTACCCCATCTTCCCGAGGTAGAGTTAACTGACTTTAAAAGTCCAGTTTCAACCCTTGCCGAACTAGGCTGGTATTATGGAGTTACATTTTGGCTGGGCCAAAGAGTCTATGTATAGTCCAATCACGCACCGAAATCGAAATCCGGTCGTAAACTGTCGTGCAGATTTCGGTCGATTGCAGGGTTTGCAAAGCATGTGCACCACCAACTCGTCAGCAGATATTTTCCAAATCTTTTCATGTTTTCAATCAAGGTGCTCCCGTGATTTGATGCACTTAGCGATGTAAGACCCATTTTATCACAATATAGATTTTGATTATCGATCAGATCGTCCTGACTGGGCGCCACCATTTTGTATGAAGCAAACACAAGTGATACGAGAAGTGGAATCTGATTGGTCTATAGGAGGGGCTTAGAAGGGACATAACTGGTAATAGCCACTGGGGGCGCTACGATCGAGCCCAGTAATTCCAGCCTTGTTCGGCAATGGTGGAAACCGGGCTTTTAAAGTCAGTTAACTCCCTTGCCTCGGGAAGATGTGGGTACCCCAGCAACCTGGGTTCGAATCCCGGTTCACACGATAAAGTTTCTAGGTTTATCAGCTCCATACCCGTGCTTGTGGGTTTCACCAAGGTGGTAAATGTCTGAGACCTGCATCTCTTTTGGCTTTCCTCCCACATTAAGCTGAAACGCCGTGATATAACTGGAATACTGTTCATCGCGTCGTTGAACCATACTCACCTTCTTGTTCCTTAAATTTTCATCTAAATTGTATTTTCATTTTACATTTGCAATAATTTTGTTATTTATGCTATATATTTTAAATCTTTCATTATTTGTCAGTGTGCCATTGTTTAAGGTCTATTGTTTTGTTTCAGAATGGTCTTTTAGGTATATTCCAGAAACTTATTGCATCCAAGACGAACGACCATCAAGGATTTTACCTTGTAAATGCAATCATAGAGTTTATGCCATCGTAAGTATTTGGTTCAGATTACGGTTTCTCTCATTTGTTTTAAATTTGAAAAAGCAGAGAATTGAGGTGTGTGAATTATCAGTGTGATATTTTTAGCTCACCTGACTGAATGTCGAGTTAGCTTATGTAAAGGCCTGCTTGTCCAGTGTTGTTGGCATCTGTGAGATAGTGATTATTGTTTTATGCTCCATTGACAAAGTCGGCATCTGTTAACATCTTCTGGGAAACCATTGGACCAATGAAACTGAACTTTACGTGCTTGTTCCTAGCAATGATGACACCTGAAGTTATTCAAGATGTTAAAATCCGTTTTTCAATAATGATGCCATGGTAAGCTGAAATTTCTTATGGAAAAATGGAAAGAAATTTGGTATATGGTAGTTGGTAGTGGAGCTCAGTACATTATGTTCCGTTTCTGGCGTATTTATTATTTAAACTTTGCTCTTTGAACATGCTCTTAACTTCTTTCAAAATGCATTTAGGGCGGTGCAGTAGCCTACAGGTTAAAGCGTGTGCTCGTCACGCCGAAGACGATGCCCGACATGGGTACAATGTGTGAAGCCCATTTTATTGTGTTACTCCGAACTGAGTGTTAGTTTTTAACAATGCAGCAATTATGCAGGGAATATTTTTAATATCAATACTGGCAACAACTTCATTTTTGTTGACATTTATACTGTTGACTAAATGTCCAGGTGAGCTAGTGTCACGACACTATTTTTTTCATGCTGACCTTTTGTATCTGGTCCTGTAGCCATTTGTAGCAGGTGTGTTGTTAAATTTTTATTACGGCCTGTCCCCTTGATGTGGGAGGAAAGCCTGAAGTGAGTTGGTCATGGATGCGTCTGTGGTAAATCAATAAAGGCATCACCACGATCATATTCAGGCTTAGACTCACACCATGACCATTTGATTGGTTGGTTTGTTGTTAACGCCACACTCAGCAATATTCCAGCTATATGACGGTGGTCTGTAAATAATCAAGTCTGGACCAGACAATCCAGTGATTGATATCATGAGCATCGATCCACACAATTGGGATCGATGACATGCATCAACCACATCAGCGAGCCTGACCACCCAATCCCGTAAGTCGCCTTTTACGACAAGCATAGTCGCCTTTTACGGCAAGCATGTGTTGCTGAAGACCTATTCTACCCCGGAATCTTCACGGGTCCATGACCATTTGAACATGGCAGGTACCTACAGCAGCGCAACCAATGAAGATCTGGGTTAGAACTGGTCCTAAAGAACCCATGCTTGTTGTGAGAGGCGACTAGCGATATCGGGTGGTCAGACTTGCTGACTTGGTTGATGCATGTCATCATATCCCAATTGCGAAGATTGTCAATCACTGGATTGTCTGGTCCAGACGCAATTATTTACAATCCGCCGTCATATAGCTGGAATATTGCTGAGTGTGGTGTAAAACAACAAACAAACAAACCTAGAGCAACTCTGCATCACAAGGTCTGACACCTTAAAACATTTGGTCAACTGTCCCCTTATTGATGAGTATCAGCTGCAGTGCTATGTGTAAATACCACAAATATGACGTATTGAAAGGAAAATCTGTGTTCACAACAATATGGACTCATTTGGTAATGGACCAGTTGTTTACCTACCGGTAATATGTAGTCAGGCTTCAGATGGGTGCCTTTTTGAGGGTAGTACTTTTGCCTTGTTGCTTTGTTGACAATAGATATTACAAATTACTTTTATAAGGACATCTTAACCATCACAGTATTCTTGCACATAATTGCTCACACAACATCACAACATTCAATTTGAACTTGCTCACTTCTCAGATGTTTTTGTTTGTTTTGTTTGTTTGTTGTTTAACGCCACACTCAGCAATATTCCAGCTATATTACGGCGGTCTGTAAATAATCAAGTCTGGACCAGACAATCCAGTGATTGACAGCATGAGCATCGATCCACGCATGTGGGATCGATTACATGTATCAACCAAGTCAGCGAGCCTGACCACCCGATCCCGTTATCAGAAAGAACAGTACACTGGGACTGACTCGGGGGACATGTGACAGTGACGATTTGTGTTGGTGTTTATTCCAAGTGAAGGTCTATGTAGTGCCATGCATCCTTATAGCTTACCAGGAATCAGAGATGGTGTAAGATATCCCTCAAAGCATCTTGCATGGCGTTGTCTACAGAAAGAACCTAAGTATATATTTTGGTTCCAGGGACCTGGTGACTCAGTACATCAAGCAGGTGTTCATCCTGCTGTTTCAGAGACTCACAAGTTCCAAGACAACCAAATATATCAAAAGTAAGTGTCAGTCGTGCAATCATCCTTTCAGCCTTCGAAGTTCACACGAGGCCAAGGCTTCTACATTGTGCTGAAGTCAAGTAAAAGTTCAATGATGGTAGTCCTCTTTGGCTAGTAGCATGTGCTGGCTATATTTCTGAACCAGTTTGCTGCAATTTGAGGACCAGCTAAATAAACCTTACACCTTGCCTTTTGTTTACTGAATGAAGTTATTGTGAACACGTCTCAAGAGGCCACTAAAATGCTCCTAGGTTATGTAAATAATTGTTTTAGAGTCCAGTGTATTAAGACTAGCCTCCACTTCTATAAAATGTTGCTCATGATATTAATCACTGGATTGTCTGGTCCAGACTCGATTATTTACAGACCGCTGTCATATAGCTGGAATATTGCTGAGTGCAGCGTTAAACAACAAACTCAACCAACCAACCAACTATAAAATGTATAAAATGCTGCTTTGATTTTATGGAGATGTTCTATGATATTAAATGTAACAGTGCATCAAATCTACTTGTGGATGAGACAGATGTGCTGTGTGACATCGGTGTGTCTGTTACAGGTCTCCTTGTGTTCTTCTCCCTCTACTCCTTCAAGTTCTCGGCCACATCAGTAGTGGAGATGGTGGACAGCATTCAGGCAAAGTAAGTTGGAAGTACTGGTACTGTAAATAAACAAACAGCCTCTATTTATTTAAAGCCTCAGTCTTCTCAAGTATATTTCCAACTTTATATTAGTTTTCTTTTCCTGCCTTTAATAATGCATGTGGTATTTACAAGCAGCTGCATGCATTACAGTTTCAAAGTCCAAATCATGCAGTGAGGATTCAGGTTACAATGCATGTCGTGGGTACAACCAGCTGCATGCATTACAGTTTCAAAGTCCAAATCGACCTGTGAAGATCCGGGATAGAATAGGTCTTCAGCAACCCATACTTGCCGTAAAAAGCGACTATGCTTGTCATAAAAGGCGACTAACGGGATCGGGTGGTCAGGCTCACTGATTTGGTTGTTACATGTCATCGTATCCCAATTGCCTGGATTGATGCTCATTATGTCAATCACTGGATTGTCCGGTCCAGATTCGATTTATTTAAAGACCGCCATCATATAGCTGGAATATTGCTGTGTGCGGCGTTAAACAACAAACAAACAAAGCCCAAATCTGCAGTGAGGATTCAGGTTACAAATGCATGTTGTGGGTACAACCAGTTGCTTGCATTACAGTTTCAAAGTCCAATCACCAGTGAAGTTCAGGTTACAAATGTCCCCAGTAACCTATGATTGTCGTATATGTGCCAACTAAGTAGATAGGTTGGTCAGGCTGTGTGACTTGGTTGAATGTGCGTCATCGTCATATCAATTGTGGTTATATAAAGGCTGCCGTCATATTGCTGGAATTTTGCTGAGTGGTGTTTAACTTAACTCAAACATATCAAAATATATCTGAAGAACCAACCTCCACGTGTGCCACACTTAAACTGATGTTCCCAACAAATGGCCCCAAATCTGTAATCAACAAAAGTTGCAAGGATATTCCTGACAAGGTGAATCCTAATTTGTACAAACATGCCAAACCCAGTAATTGCCAACCAGAACAAGAATATTTACAAGAATAAGTAGAAAACTTTAGATTAGATACATCATGTCAATTATTAATATACTGCTCCACTGTATCAAGAAATGTCCCTATAAGAATTTGAGTAGTATATAATAAAAACAAGGCAAGTAAGTAAATTATAGTCAAGCAGCGACTAACAGTTCCCTGTATTCACATGGCCATCTTGTTTATTCAAGGATGTTCGGAATGGTTTTGGAGAAGCTCTTCCTTCAGGATCTACAGAAGATCTCGGGGCACACGGAGAAGAGGATCTGTGCAGTGGGGGTCACCAAGATCTTGTGTGAGGTACCATCCATGCTGCAAGGTGACTACCTCCCTCTATGGTGAGTACTGCAGCATTCTGTGTTGTGCTGGTGGTTTGGTATCCAAACCTAGTTTATTTCAAAGCAGAGGCTGCTGTGTTGGTGTTCCAGGCTGTATTGCATTTCCATTTGACTTTGCTGATGGTAAACAGGTAACATAAGACAAAATGTATTAATATTATGGTTGTTGTTGGTGGTGTTTAATGACGCACTCAGCAATATTCCAGCTTTTCTGAAGACCTTCATGGGTCTATATATATTATATCTCTATGATGTGCCATTTTGAGATAGGGAACGTATAACTTATGTTAGTAGACATTGAATGAGAATGCAGAATGTTCATCGTTGTTATAATTATGATGTCTATTGTCAGTTTCTCTATTGAATCGATTTGGGGGTAAAATATTCAGTTATTTCTTTGCAAAACTGCATGTACACATAAAAAAAGTTTTGAAGTGGTGCCTTTTACTTATGGGGATTTTGTTTGTTTGTTTTTTGGTCTTCTGACATGGTTTAGTTGAAAACTTCAATACAGTCGACAGCCAACAACCATAGTAACCACAGATTTCCCAGAAAGGTGGCTCGGTTGTCTAAGGTGCCACAATTAGCTGTGTAGATTTGCGTCCTTTGGGTATGCAAGAAACCTCTGATCGTGGATTGCCCTGGTTATGTTTCTAGGTTTGTCAAAGTGGTAAATGTTGGAGTTATGCATCACTCTGGGCTTTCTTCCAACATTAAGCTGGCATGCCATGATATGACTTGAATACTGTTCAAAGCGGTGTTAAACCAAGCACACTCACTCACTCCAGAAAGATGTGGGTATTAAATGTTTTGCTTTGTACATACAACAGGCCCAAGTTGCTGCAGGCTCTGGTCGGCCTGTTTGAGTTGCCAGAAGATGACTCAGTCCCAGATGATGAACACTTCATAGAAATTGAGGATGTCGCAGGTATGGTGTCTTGGACTCCTTGTCCTCTAATGTTCTTAGACCGCCTCCGTGGTCTAGTGGTAGAGCGTCCACCCGGAGAGCAGAAGGGCCGGGGTTCGATCCCCGGCTACGTCATACCAAAAGACGTTGAAAGATGGTACTTGTTGTTACCCTGTCTGGCGCTTGGCATTAAGGGGCTAAAACAAGGACTGGTCCGCTTTGAGTCAGAAAACTGTGTCTGAGTGGGGTATTCATGTTAAACTGCGGCATTGTATCTCAGTGGGCTAGCACTATAAATCGGCATCAGTAAGGACTAGTACAAGCAGACACACACACACACACACACACACACACACACACACACACGTGCATGCACGTCGCTATATAAGTGCAATAATCTTGACGCGACGTTAAACCCAATTTCACCTCACCTCTAATGTTCTTAACTTGATTATCAGTAAACATGGTAAAATAGTTTTAAGAACATAATCAGAAACCAATCTGGGCATTCTTTAAGTTCTATCTCACAACAATTCATTTAGGCCACTTGTATTTATGGTGAAGTTCCAATCAAATTTATGAAAGTTAAATTGCCATTATTATCAGATTTATTGGGGTAACATGATTATGGGTCAATTGCCAGTTCAAGCAGAAAATTTAGATTGAATTTCTGTTTTTTTGGTCAAAATGAAGATTGGTGTTTGCAGGTTACCAGACTGCATACTCCCAACTGGCATTTGCTGGGAAGAAGGAGCATGACCCCCTAGGGGACAGCATCCCCGACCCCAAGACGTTCCTGGCCCAGCACTTGCAGCAGCTTAGTGCTTCTAATCCTGGCATGGTAGGTACATTACAGATGACTTGGACTGGTGGCAGGATCCATGGCACTTACATATTGCCATGAAGTACGTTGATACTTTGATTTAGATTTAGATTTGTTTGTGTGTTGTTTAACGCCGCACTCAGCAATATTCCAGCTTAAGACGTCAGTCTGTAAATTTATTATTTATAAATCTGGACCAGACAAGCCAGTGATTGACATCATGAGCATCGATCCATGCAATTGGGATATGATGACATGCATCAACCAAGTCCTCTAGCCTGACCACCCGATCCCGTTAGTCGCCTCTTACGACAAGAATAGTCGACTTTTATTGCAAGCATGGGTTGCTGAAGACCTATTGTACCCCAGATTTTTATAATGTTACTGTTAAACAACAAAGCAAATCTAACCAAACCAATAATGTTTTTTCACTATTATAGATAGCCAACATGATCAGCACTGGTCTCCAGCCTGAAGCCCAGAACTTCCTTCAGCAGTACCTCCAGGCCGCAGGAGTGTCACTGGCCTGAACTGTACACATCTCTTTCACGGAACCACAGATTATGTCAGCTTCAGAATGACTCACCACGTACTGGGGATGTTGTGTTTGTTAATAATGAGGGATAGTTTCCTGGTAGATGTCAGCAGGCATCGTCTTTCAGCACTGGATATGAAATCGACCATCCAAGTACTTCTGTCAGCGGATGTGTGTATTGTTTTTGTTGGATTTGTTAGGTATTGGCGATCAAACCCATCAGTGGAAACAGATGTGGTCAAGGTCACTTCAGTTTAATTGATAACACCATGATACAACAGAAATACTGTTCAAAGTGGAGTTAGCAAAACTCACTCACTCACGACACCCTGATATCAAGTCTGGTCATACAGTGAAGATAGGTCCCAAGCAGTTGAAAGTGTTCACTGGTGCATGGATTTTGTCACGATAGAAATGATGGGGAATACGCATATTCTTCGACCATTAAAAAGACTTCACATTTACAAGGCTAAAGAGGAGTGACAAAATAATACTGACAGATATTTGTGTTGGTTTTGTTGGACACAGTATATGAAATGAGTGCATACATTATTGTCAGTTCCATTGTAAATTTTGTGAAGATGTCAATGTGTTACTGAGTGTGCTAGACTAAAAGTGCTTGTATATTTCCTGCAAAATGTGTAAATAAATTACATGCTCATTGTAACTTTGTTTCTTATTCCTACGGACAGATGTGGAAATTAGAAAGATGTTCACATGTCCTGAGGGTAGGTCAAATGTTAATTATACTTGTCCAGTTATTTGAAGACAGTATATATATTTATTATGCATGTTTTTTTTAGGGATTCAGACTTGTCTTGTTTCCGAGTTGAATTCCTTATGGAAATCAAGGCTTTGTATCTTCTTTGACATCACTTAATCCTGAAATACATATCAATATGTAATTGCTGCCAAGTGGTTTAGGATGAGTGACAATACTTTATCAGACATGAAGGAAGAGTTGCAAGTACAAAGGAGGAGGGAAAGGGAATAAAGTGAACTACACTTCACTCGTGGATCCTTCGCTCGTCACGCCGAAGACCCGGGTTCGATTCCCGACATGGGTACAATGTGTGAAGCCCATTTCTGGTGTCCCCCGCCCTGATATTGCTGGAATATTGCTAAAAGCGGCGTAAAACCATACTCACTCACTCACTCGTGGATCCAGATATAAGTGCACTACATGCGACACAAATAACGAACACATATTGAACCAGGGCCTTTAGGCTTAATAAAAGAATTGGTTCTCAGGCAATGTTTTTTTAAGTGTGTGAGTGAGAGTGAGAGAAAAAACCCTGTTGGAATATTTATATTTATTTTTAGGGTTTTTTTTAAAATGAAACGTGTCATGCAGGTGCAGCCTGAGAACCAAGATTATTATTTTATTTAGCCCTAGCTGTAACTGAGTCAGTGATAATAGATTGAGATTGCTTAGAGGAACTGATGAATTGCATTAGGCTTTTGCAAAATACAAGTTTTGTTTCACAAGGGTAATGTCCTAGACAAGTATCATGCAAAGCTCCTATTTGTTGGCCACCTCGCTCTGGGTGTTCTTCACACCTGATCGTTTCACCTGTTCAGGTGATGAAATGCCAAACTACTTATACCAGGTTCCTTTTGATTTAAACAGTATTTTATTTCCATTAATGTTCAGATTTTACATTACATAACGTTACAAAATGGAACAAGAGTCATCAGAAAGATGACATATCCCCCCGGCAGCTGTCTGTAAAGTAACCACTAGTAAATGTGCAATTCTGTATGTAATGAGTCAACAGTTGAATGTTCTTTAAGAAGCATACATTGTTTACCCACTGAATTGTTTTCGAATTCTGGCCCGAAAACGAACCCGTTCCCCAATGGAGTCTAGGTCCAACTTCTTTCCATAAAAATTGTAAAAAATAAAAATTCGTAAAAAAAAATTAATATCAAATGTATGTGCCTGATAGATTTGCCAAGTTTCGATCAAATTCACTGAATGGTTTTCGAATTCTGCCCCGGAAACGAACCCCATACCCAATTGAGTCTATGTCCAACTTCATTCCATAAAAATTTAAAAAAAATTAAATTAGAAAAATCCAAAAATATCAAAAGGCACCACTTCAGTATGTGCCTGATAGCTTTGCCAAGTTTCGATCAAATACACTGAATGGTTTTCGAATTCTGCCCCGGAAACAAACCCCATCCCCAATTGAGTCTATGTCCAACTTCATTCCATAAAAATTTTAAAAAATAAAAATAAGAAAAATCCAAAAATATTAAAAGGCCACCACTTCAGTATGTGCCTGATAGATTTGCCAAGTTTTGATCAAATACACTGAATGGTTTTTGAATTCTGCCCCAGAAACGAACCCCATACCCAATTGAGTCTATGTCCAACTTCATTCCATAAAAATTTAAAAAAATAAAAATTAGAAAAATCCAAAAATATCAAAAGGCACCACTTCAGTATGTGCCTGATAAATTTGCCAAGTTTCGATCAAATACACTGAATGGTTTTGGAATTCTGCCCCTGAAAAGGAAATGATTACGGACGGACAGACAGACTGGCTGATCGCTATATCCCCCCGCATTATATGCCGGGGGGATAAAAAGGATTAGCAAACAGGCCAAAAAGGCCTATATTAATGCTTCTCCTAATATTGTACATCATACATGTAGATTGTAATGAAGTCTATAGAGCAGACATTAATGACACAAAATAAAATAAAATGGAAAGCAAGATACCAAATGCATTTTATATTCTTAAGTTGACACATAACTTACGTAAAGCGGTTTGTTTCAATGATGCAATTGTGAACTGATTTTATAATGTGTTCATTGTCTGAGGGAGATGAATCTTCATTGCCGTGGAGTATAGTATGTATGCTGAGCTGGTTAACAAAAAAGTATTTATCAATTCTAAACTTGGCATAGCGTGGACAAGATAGAAAAAAGTGGAAAGCATCTTCTCTATTTAGGCCACATAGACAGATGGGATTATCAATCAGAAATCTGTCAAATAAATGTGATTTTAAATCACTACAACCTAGCCTAAGTGTAGATAAAATCACTTGGCATTGCCGCTGGCCATAACTAACAAAAGATGTCAAATTTGAAGTAAGCTTAGTTTCTCTAGAAATTAATTGCTTAAACCGACATGGTGTTGAAAAGAAAACTAAATTATGAGTAAGGCCAGAATGTTGGTATGCATAGTGCCTGTATAAGGCTTCATTTCTGCAAGTCGTTATATGGCTGAAATAATGCCGATGCGACGATAAATTTTCACACTCCTTTCTGCATTTGTAGTGCTTAGGATTTGCGACAGTTGAGAGAAAAACAGCTCATATTTGCCCCAGTTACATCCAGATTAACCAGTGTATTATATTTGTATGCTATTATGATTCTTACCCTGGATTCATTCGCTAGCAAAGCTTTGTTTTAGAAGTGACTTCATCTCTGTCACCAGCTTAGCACAGGATATCTTCAGATTGTGAGTGTAAATTACACCGTAATCTGATTAGATGGGTATTTTTAGTGGTGTGTCTTTTGAATACAGTATATGACGAACGTTTGGTAGCACGGGTGCAGGCTACTCCAGGGTGTTCATCAAAACAGAATGGAGCCAATACACTGGATATGAATAGGCCAAGTTAGATGTGGATCTGTGAAAACCCATGTGAACAAGTGAATCTTTTATTATGCTACAATTTACAGTATTCCTGGAACCTTATGTCATATTGTCCTTGACCCATAGGGTTCGAAATAACCGAGTTCATAAAAATCCTGTGTGCACAAGCGCAAATATCACTTCACGCACACCAGTGTATTGTTTATCTGGACTTTCATTGTTGACCTCATTCGAATCTTATAGTGACGTAAGGTCAGAATGACATCACATCACAGTGAGGGGCGGTCGGGTAGCCTAGTGGTTAAAGCGTTCGCTCGTCATGCTGAAGACCCGGGTTTGATTCCCGACATGGGTACAATGTGTGAAACCTATTTCTGGTGTCCCCCGCCGTGATATTGCTGGAATATTGCTAAAAGCGGCGTAAAACCATACTCACTCACTCACATCACAGTGAAAGATTGTTGACGTCTTTCTACAATTGTGGTTCACCCCTTCTTTGTTATCCCTTTTCAAGTCTTACTCATTCTGTTGAATAGAAGAAAACGACTCTAAGGCAAAGATGGTTTAATAGAATAACACATCTTCACTCAAAAAACAGATTTACATATCATTATATACAATAAATCCTGTCTGAACAGAGTGTGATATCGAATGAAAAGATGTTGCGAGTAGGCTCTCCATCTTCATATTGTTGATAACTTGCTGATCCAATTTTGTTTGCATATTCAGGAATGACTGGATGATGTCCAATGAGACATGATGATTGACAACAGATGTGTTGATTTCAGGATCTGAAGAAAATAACAAATAAGTCTTATTCAACACATTGAGATTGGAAATATTTACAGCAACAAGGACAATTAAATATGCCACGCAAAACAATATATACCCGGACAGATTAACTATAGGAATATGAAAGAATTGGGTGGCCTCTTACCATTTTTGTGTGATATTAGGACTTTTTCATTAACATCGTTTTTAAACAGATCATCATTAATGTGTGCTCATAAAAGCAGCAACTGCAGATCCGGTGTTAAGTTGGGGATTTCACCAGTTGTCACATACTCTTACACCATAATTGAAGGATACATGAAAGTTAGCCCAACAACTTTTACACATGGGTCCACGTCCAAGTCTTCTACATGATGAACATGTGCTGACCTCTCAGAAGTTGGTTTGGTTGGTTGGTTTGTTGTTTAACGCCGCACTCAGCAATATTCCAGCTATATGACGGCGGTCTCTAAATAATCGAGTCTGGACCAGACAATCCAGTTATTAATATCATGAGCATCAATCCACGCAATTGGGATTGATGACATGCATGAACCAAGTCAGCGAGCCTGACCACCCGATCCCGTTAGTCGCCTTTTACGACAAGCATAGTCACCTTTTATGGCAAGTAAAAGGTACTCTGGATGAGTCACAATATTGTCTGCAAGACTTCAACTGTTTTCACTTACCTCATGTGTGACCTACTCTGATTTCTTGGTGTTGTTGACTGATACATAGTGGTAGAGAACCACAAGGAGGAACAAGGACACTCCTAGGGCATTGGCGAAGATGGCCAGCTGGACGTCGGTGATCATCCTGCGGAAGACAACAATGAATTATTGTTCTGTATTCCTTTATCAGGGTAGACAGCATTGGTCAAATCCAACTTGTCAGCAACTCATTTCTGACTGGTACTAGTCTCTCTGGATGTTTACTAGTCTCAGACTAACGGACCATCAGCTGTGCCTATCCCTATTCATAAGCCATATTTCTTTTGGCAAGTACAAGTAGGATAAGCGACACTAGAAATTTCAATTTTGAGGTCATGGAAAACTTTGAAATATACCTCTGAGAATCAGACATCACTTGCAAGGCTTGGATTTATGTAACATTATAAAGTACAGAAGTATGGCAAAATAAACTATGCAGATTGAATGGAGGACCATGTTCACTCATAGTATATTGGGGAAACAGCTGACATGTTAGGTTCTGCAATCAGCACATCTACAAGGACTCTTCCAGGGGTTTATTAAAGCCTTAGTTTTGCAACAGAACCAATAAAAAGAAATCCCCAAACAGCCTGTTATGGGAGGTTAGTAAAAAATAATTAAAAATCCTTGTTTTCATAACCAAGCTCATCACAGCAAGCACTGAATCCCAGAGCTCTCTGCAAAGCTGGGCAAGGAATGGTTATCCTAGAATGAACTGTCACAGATAGGTGATATTCTCTTGCTTATAAATAAACACATTAATACTGTGATGTCTCACTCAAAAATCAAGTTGATTACACATACAGGAGAATAATTATTTCACATTGGTTGTATGATAGTTAATCACAATGAAGCAAATGACACTGGGTTCTAGTGAGCCAGAAATCTACATGTGAGAAGAAATAAAAGTAAGAACACCATAACCACTTCAATACTGGACAAACATGTGTGAAGTTGGTTTCAACACCACTGCTCAATATTTCAGATATATCTTAAAGAGTTAAAAGCACTGATCCAATGGGCATTCGCCATGTGGATCACATGTACAATCATAACCCTAGGATGTACTCCAACCCAAACACTTTATATAACAGTGTCTATTGAGCTGTATATCACAATTTACAGACACCATGGTATGTGCAAAGTGAAAAGTGCTGTTTGCACAAACCATATACAAGGATACAATATTTGTGGAAATCAAGAATTTGGTGAAGAGATGTGAACAAAATCGCCCTTAGTTCTAATAAAGTTCTGTCTCATCCCCTATCTATTACAAGGTGGGAGACCCTAAAATTGGGCTTTGCACATGGTGTCAGTGTTGGGCATTACACCTAGCCTGCAGAAGGGCATTCACGTCTTTCAACAGATGACCCCGCCCTCTGCTATCACTTTAAAATGGGAGTACTGTTTAGTAGTTACCATATGGACGCTCACTTAAAGTTAAGAATATATACCCTAAAGTGCATTAAGGGGCTACAAGTTGATTCACAACACTATATAATACAGATAGGCGAGCCTTCATCAGCTGTTAATGGTGAATATGAAACTTGTACACGAGTGGGAGACACTTTTTTTCTCCTCGAGGGGAGCACACGTAGGCTGACACTAATATTATTCAATTTAAACCAAAACACTTAAGATGATACAATGAAGTTTTGATATGAACCTTAACTGCTACAATGCAAATTATTAATAAAATACAGTTGTTATAAAATTTCACTATGTTGCAAGTGCTGCATGTGGACAACCAAGAATATGACCGATTTGTTTGCGTTCGTTTAACATTTCAAAAGAATAAATGCAGTTTGCTTGTCATAATAGTTTTCACGACAATATACTCTACCTGTTGGTAAATTTGATGGTTGTAAAACCTGCTAATTTAGACGAAATACACAAGCCGGTGTGATTTTAAGCAACGGCAAATCCCTGATGCAGACGTGTCGCACTTTAACTTCCCGTAATGTCAGGGGTTATTTCCGCTTATATCACAACCAATCAAAACGATCCGTTAACTTGAAGTGACCTAGTCGTGGGAGGACAAAGGAATGGCGGGAGAGAGTTGTGTGTCTATATTTGGAGTTCCCTTTGTTCACCTTACTACGACTTTACTACTAGATTCCTGTCATTCACCGTGGCCTTGCACGTGGGACACTCCACGCATGGACTACAGGTAAATCTAATTAGATTTCCTCTCAGGTGCTAATTATCACAGTTTGAGGAACCTTTTTACCTTAGGACTGAGTCTTTGAAAGGATTTCATTGAAATATTGGATTTACCTTATTTCAAGAGGAACCATGTTTTTGGACACAGTTCGATTCGGAGTTTGTTTACTTGACAGAAAGTCGATTGCTTTCTTAAATGGCATAAATACACGTCAGGTATGTCATAAACATCAAAAAGGCATCGGTTAAAACTTTTCAAAAAGTTTTACAATGAAATGTACACAGTTTCAGTGATGAAGCCCAAGAAAAGTTTTCACTTCCGGGTGTTGATGGGCGTTTCAGTGATGTATCGGAATTTGTGCCATATTATGTGATCAAGTGAGGTAATGTGGCGCAATGTTTTACTTTCACGGATATATGTTATCGACAACATGAATTCAAACCGTTTCAACTCAAGAAAGGAACTTTATACGGAGTAGCTTATGACAAGGGATGCCCTGTCAATTACGCATGCAGCGCCAACGCACGTGCTGCGCGCGCTTGACAATGACCATTGTTTACAACAGCAGACGACAAAATGGAGCAACATGTGCATAATGCCGCTAGTGGATTACCGGTACAATTAGGAGGAAATACGCAATTTCTGGTAAGTATATCAACTTCATAGATAACATGCATTTGTCGGGAAGGCCAGTCGTTTCATATATCCATTTATGGAGTTTATTGCAACCATTTTTCACAACGATCAGGCATTATTGTACATGCTGAAGGCACCGCCCATTGTCTTCGTTCCGCCTGATCCAGAATAATATATGCAGTATTATGCTTAAATCAAGTTTAATCTAATTATTATGAATGGGAATTATTTCTTATAGTTGTTGAATTGCCTAATATGATCCAGTTTGTTGAAAATGTGCTGTGATTATCGATTTAATTGTTTTCTTTCTCAGTTTCTATGAATGGAAACAAAAAAGTCGCGTGTGCTTTGGGCGGGAAACTTGGTTTTTGTCTGGGAATTTTGGCTCCGAATGAAACAAAGCTCTTTGTGGAATTGACAGTGAGTGCTTTTAATTGAGATATGTATGATTAATATGTGTGAAGTGAAATAAGAAAATATTTCTCTTTAATAGTGCATTTAATAAAATACAAGAGAACTATGTATTAAACAAAGGAAAGGCAGGTGTATAGATTACATAATACAAGTAGTCTAGATTGTTTCAAGCAAATAATAAGAACTTGCATTTGTGTTAAATATTGATAGTTACAAATGAAGTAAGGAAAATTATATGCTGTCATAATTTCTTTGGGTTTTACAATGTTGTAAAGAACAAAGATGAGAAGGTTTATTCTGTTGTTGAATAACATGGCTTTTATAGAAGTATATGTTTCATTATATATGCAACAAAGAATATGCATAATAAATGTGTTAATGGTTTGCATATATAGAATAGACATCATGTAAAAGGGAAATATATATAAGTATATGTATGTCCCCTTTTAATAAGACAGAATATGAAGTCAGACTGTAAAGTCTGTAAAGTCAGATCTCCCTGAGGATACAAATGGCACACTGATTATATTTGGTGGGGTGTTATTGTTTGTTAAATATTCTTAATCATTTAAAGTGTACACCAGTGAACATCGCTATTTTTGCTAACTTCATGTATATATAGAGAGAAAATAATATCTTACACTATTTCAGGTATGTGTTTTTTAAATATGATTGATAGGATTTCATTATCAGTTTTCATTACACAAGTAAAATTATGTAATTATATGGTTTATGAGTATCTTTTTGCATTTTTCATATTTACCAGGCATAACATGATATCCAACAACAAACCTAAGACTTGTATCTTTGTCAGCATTACAGGACTTAACCACAAATAACAGGGGATGGGAGATGATTCTATCTAGACAAAATTACATTGTGCACTAACAGAGATAGTTATACTACCATACAGATATATTTTCCTTTTTGGTAAGTAATCTGTAACTAGAGAGCCATTTAAAATCCTTGCATTACTCCATCCATTTCATACAGTACCAATTGTAAAAAAAACACATCTATACTCACTATCCTCACGAGTATACAATTACTCTTTTAAACAGAAAACTTTACAACCCTTGTATTATGCAAACCCATTACATACATTACTGATTAACTAATAGACAACCCCCTATCAGTTGCTAATGCCTCTTAGCTGTAGGTAGCAATTAATGACAAGTGGTGTATAACAAGCAATATACAACCTCAAGGGGAACTGTATTGAATAACACTACATTATCTCTGCTACAATAGGCAACACTGTTGCTAGTCACCTGAAAGGATTTTCAACCCTTGGAATGCAGTAATAGGCAGAGATCCCTCACCTTTCCCCAGTAATTACAATGTAACAGTACCCTGTGTTCTGCAATACAGAACAAACAATGTGATGTGCTGTTAGTTGTGTTCATTGAAGCCTGGATAATATACTAGTTTCTGACCTTTTATGCTGGGCATTATTTATTCATGACACATTTAGTTAGCCATCTCTTCTACATGAAAGCATTGCTTGTCAGAAGTAGATCAGTGGAATCATTGTATTATGTTAAGAATACTGTAGGTGTATCAACATATTATGAACGTGTCAAAGATGGGAGACCTCTTTGGAACAACAAAGACTATGGCTGTGGATAGCAGACAAGCTCTTTCTTGGCCTTTGACATCTGAACATAGGGCTCTAGATCCCTCAAGTGGATTTCACATAAGCTCCCATCCCCTGTGATTTGTACTGTTGCTGGAAGCGTTTATCTTGTACATTTTTATTACAGTTTTTCAAAACTGGCCAATTATATAAGGGTGTAGTTATCCAGTATTAATGCATTATTTTATTCTTTGATGTTCGTGATGTAGATCTAGTCACTGAACTTCTTGAACTTGCAAAATATTGAAGTGTGTGTAGAAGATTATTGGTTTCTTTTGCTTATTCCCAATTTGTACATGTTGTATAGACACAATAATAACAATAGTTATATATGACAGTAACTATCTGTAGAAAAGTTAGATTTTGATTTCTGACAAAAATCACTTTATACTATTCTCTCATGTTTATAGTTTATATTTTTGAAATTCCTCACATGAATTAGTAATCAGTGAAGTGGTACAAATAATGCTGACAATGTGACATTGTTGCCTCGCGTATGAAAAAAACCCACAATGTTTTACATTTGTACAACCTAACATTTTGTAGGCTTTTTGTTGTTTCTATTTTCTGATAAAAGAACAATCTGGAAAAATAGAAGTAAATTTCATCTTTAATATTTGGCTCCAGTCAGCTGAATCAGTATACAAAAAGTAAAACAAGTGTCAGTTTACCTTTGCAAAAGAACCATTTCATAAAGAGCACAAAGCCATGATTGCATATTTCAAGTACTGTTCACTATAAACTGCAATGAAGTTTGCAGAAAATGTTAGCACATATTCATCAGTGTCTTCTATAAGATGAAGACATCAAATTAGTATAAACAGTGTATTTGTACAGTTGATTGTGGTTAAAAACAAAATAATTTGTTTAAAAGAGAAAAACATTCAACACCATATCAGCATGAACTCGATGAAGGTTGTAAATGAGGCTACTGTGATTGTTGCTCAAACATAATATTTTAAAATGAAAGCATATTATTGTTACTAATGATTTTATACCAGAGAATCTGTGTTTATACCTTTTCTCATATTTATATCTCATGTGAGGTTTGCTTGTTCATTTCTTAGATCTTAGACTCAGTAATAAGAAAGGACACTTAGGAAGCAGTTAACAAAAGAATTGAGATTGATTGTTCATACACAGGATAAGATATATATGTTTTATTCCTTTAGACACAGATTTTATTTGCAACAGTTGCAAATGGCATACTACTATTAAAGCTTAATTTTAGAGAGGGAAATCCACTGTATTTATGAAGAGAGAAAAAAAAAAAAAAAAAAATTGAACCCTTCAAGTCTGTGATTCATGTACATGTATTAATAAAAGTTGCTCTTAAAATATGGCATTTTAACAGTTGAAATCAATACTACGGACAGATATGTTTATTCAGAACATAGGGCCTCTTTGCCCAATGTACATTGAGAGATCATATTATTTGTGCTTGTTTTTAATAGATATTTAGGTAAATTTCTTTTAAAGAAGATGGCTAATCTTTTCTAAATGGAAGGATCACGACCATTCAAAGCTTGACAAATTTACATTTGGTTGGGTAAATATAAATACAAGGTAAACTAGGTATTTGGTATTAATATATTAGTGTCTACTTTCTACAGTACACACACACTAACAGAAAATATTATTTATCATCTATTTGAAAGTATTTACATTTACAAAGATCAACTTTTGAATTATCATCAGTTTTGTATTTTCAAGACATGATAAATGAACAAATTTATAGAATATTTGTGGAAGGTTTCTTTGACAAGATCTTTCACTAATGTAGTGTCCTGGGTCAAGAAGTGATTTACGCTTGAAGTACACTTGACGAAGTGAAGCATTGATGATTTTATCATTATTTTTTAACTATATTTTTGCTGCTTAAATACAAGCATTAAATATGAACAATTTCCACAATCTTGCACAATCCATGCAGGACACATGATTATATTTATTGTACCAAATTAACAAGAAATGTAAAGTTCCTGAAACTGAAGTTATTATTAAATGTCTCAATACAGTAAGCTACATCATTTCATTACTTTGCAGGACACTCATATTTCCATATTTCCTTTAAGGATCCTTGAAATTAGTAATTGGTGGGGCTCTGGACCCTTAGTTTTGTAGGTCTAGGTAGAACCCTGAATAACAGACACAAATATTGCCTGCACATCACTCATATATCGTGTAATGAACTAGAATTCTCATATTTACTGTTATTGAGGTAGATAAAAGGGATATTTTGCACAATTTCCTTCTTGTTAGATATGTATGTCCAAATGACATTCATGCTTACATCAAGTTGTGAGTGGCTACATTTGAAGTAATCAAATATCATATCAATATCACTTGCTATTTTTGTACACATTGTAAGCTAGAACTATAAAATATGTTGTAAATATTCTGAAAAGTGTTGCGAGTTTTCAGCTTAACCTGTTAACAGAATTCTCATTTTTTTAACTGTTGATTATGCGCCTGCTTGTATTTTCATAATGGTATCCCCCTTGAACTTGCTCTTGAAATAGGTGTTAAAACACAACATCTAACATGTAGGTGTTTAACATATCGAGTGAGGACGTTATTCACTTTTATTATGCATTTGCTATGTGCATCACTGTTATAGATACTCAACTTCTCTGACATCAAGGATTATTCTGGACCTACTAAAAGGCCTAAATTCCCAAATTGGAATGAACCATTTCCCAATTCGTGCCTATGGTATGGCTTCTAGACGTGGTATGGGTAACTTGTATTTCACTGATATCAACAGGATCAATGAAGAGGAAGAGGCTTTGCTTATATTTACATTATTGCATTGAAGGAAATATGAAAGTGTATTGTTTAAGTATCTCTGACTTAAAACAAATAAAACAAATAAAAAATCCCAATTTTGAATAAGATTATGATTTTTTCCTCAATTTGCCTGCCTAGGACACTTAATTTCGAATCCTTGATAAGTCCC